CCAAAAAAGGTAGGTGCAAAACTGCAAACAATGGAAAATTTAGGGCAAGAGAGGAGAGTTCAAGATTTTAAAACACACACAAAAAAAGCTTACTTAACTAGGGAATTGTAATAATTGAGATACTATTAATTGTATATTGTGTTGAAAGCAGAAATGGTTAAGCTGTGGTTTGGAGGAATATATGGGGGAAATTATTTGGTTTATTATTATTGGTAAATATAATTAATTGATTTGTAAGAAATTGGATTGCATGGAAATAATTGGAATATTCATGTTCATATTGATTAATATACAAAAAAAGATAGTTATATAACTAATTGATTTATATTAAAATGTTGAATTTGTATTAAAGAACTAATATTACATAATTAACCAATGTGAGGATGAATATAAAAATAGATGACAATGGGAAGGGGTATAATATAGAAGGGAAAAATTGAATTTGATTAAGATTAGAGATGAGGATGAAGGGTAATATTGGTTTTTTTAAAAAATAGATGAGGAATAAATATGGCAAAAAGGAAATATAGAAATTGTAAATTTAATTGAAATGACTAAACACTATTTAAATTTGTGAACTGGCCAAATACTCTGTTCAAAGAAAATACATTATATGTTTGTATGTGTGTTTCTAATTATTGCTATTTATTCATATTTGTTCTCTTTTATTCTTTAAAGTTTAACAATTCATTCTTTATCTTAATATCTTTATATTTATTTGGGGTTGGCTTTCTTGCCTTTCATCTTTTTTATTGTACAGCAATCTTTCTCCTGAAACCTACCACCTCTGTCTTTTCTTTCCTTTTTACTTTCTCTTCCCCCCTTCTTCTCCTCCCTACTTCCTCTTTCTGCTTCTCCTCCTCTCTTCCTCCCTCTCTTACCTTCGCTCCTACTCTAACTTCCCTTCCCTTCCTTCATCCCTCTCTATTGCTGCATCCTTTTATGCATATGGACTACTCAGAGGGCTGAAAAAGTTATTTTTGACTGGTCCTCGCACTTACGACTGTCCTCACATTTTACGTTTTTGCCCTATCTTGTCACCATGATGAAGAGAAGCAGTTGTGAAATGAGTGACACGGTTGTTAAGAATGCCGCAACGGGCATAAATGTGAGGATGGTCATAAGTGCGAGGACTGGTCAGAAAGGACTTTTTTCAGCCCTCTGAGTAGTCCCTATGCAGATAGCCACGCCCACCCGGTCACATGACCAGCTAGCCACGCCCACCCGGTCACATGACCAGCTAGCCACGCCCACCCGGTCACATGACCAGCTAGCCACGCCCACCCGGTCACATTAACACCAAGCCACACCCCCAACTAAGCCATGCCGACAGAACCGGTTGTTAAAGAAATTGAATCCCATCACTGGGCCAGAGGCAGAAACTCAATCTTTGTCAATGCAACACAATAGGACCCATCTAGGGACAGAAGCTAACACAACAGGACCCATCTAGGACAGAAACTCACCACATGGCACCTGGGAAGATTACATCAGCCAGCAAGGCTAGCTAAGACCCCCACCGACCTGTGTGCTCCCACAGAGAGGGCCTCCTCGGGGTGACATCAGCCAAACAATGTAGGCTGGCGATCCCCAGGGGGAGGGCCTTCTCTGTGGGGGCACCTACCCTCTGGAATCAGCTGCCCCCTGAGGTAAGGAGGATCCAAGACCTCGGTGCCTTCCGCCGTGCCCTTAAAACTTTCTTTTTTCAGCAAGCCGGGCTGGCTTAACATATTTTTTAATATTTTTTTAATTTTTAATTGGTTTGTTATCTTAAATTGGGGCCAAATTAATATCCTTTTAATTGTTTTTTAATGTTTATATTCTATGTTTTTATCTGGCTGCATACCGCCCTGAGTCCCTCGGGAGAAGGTGCGGTATATAAATTCGAGATAAAATAAAAATAAATAAATAAATAAAACCAATCAAGGTACACTTTCAGGGCCCCAGGAAGTTCAAAGCCAGAGACAGCATAAAAACCCAGGGACTTGCTGTATGTCACCCCTTTTCTGTTCAGGAACTCAACCATGTGATCCTGTCCACCATTAAACCATCTTTCCAAGCAGTCTCCATGTTTCCAGTGTCTTTCCCCACTTGGAACTGAACCCAGAAGGATATTTCTTCTTACAGAAGTTAGCACCCACCCCTCTCCTAGAAGAATGAAATATTTTAGGAAATATTAAAAAGGCAGAATATTATGTTGTCGAGCCCTGGCTTGCCATACCTGGGGGCTGCCGGGGGCGGCGTGACGGCTGCGGGAGTGGCGTGGCTTCAGCACCTGACGTCCCAGGTGCTCCCAACGGCTTCTTGCTCCTTTGGCCAGTGGGCCCTTTTCCATCAGCTGAGTGGTGTTGATGGTGGCACAGTGGAAGGGCGGAGGACTGTGAATCGCCGTTTCGTAGCTTCTGTGGTTCCTAATGGCTGCGCCTGCGCCATGATAGCCAGGGAGACCAAGAGGAGGAATAAACACAGCCGGATGCTGGCTATGGAGGTGGACTGGGCCGTGGGCATGCCTATGTTAATTCAGAGCTATTTACAACGCTGGCAGTAGCTCCCAGCGCTGACTTTGTATCTGCCAAACTCAGTCCTGCCGGACTGCGGCCGCATTAAAACCTGCAGCAAGTAACCTTGTTTCCGAATTTGATTTGCCTGGAAAGGAACGCCTGTGATATATTTCCCTGGATGAGAAATGGAGAAACATGTTTTTTTAGGCAGGAAACAAACTCACTCTTAATAGCCCCCACCCTCCTCAATAGCCCACAGCAGATGTCTGCACTTAAGAGATAGCTAGGTCTATTCCTAACCAAATGCCCTCACCCAAAATCCAACAAAGGTAGGATTAGCCCTCTAATCCTAACTGGAGCGGAATTGGTGAACACTGTATGGAACTGGGTGAGAAGAATCCTTTTTATTTAATGTGTAACTCCAAAAGAATATCCAGGAAAAGAGAGACTCATAATTATTTTTAAAATGGCTGCGACTTAACACCTTGAGTAAAACTTTAAAATGGAAGGAAAAAGAATCAAAGGTAAGAAAACAGAAAATTTGCTAAAAATACAGAAAGTTGGATTTTCAAATTGGACAGGTGTTTGTTTTGGATAGGCATTTTAAAATGCTAGAGTTATTTACATAAAAAGCTAACCATATTTATATTTTGGAGTATTCCAGTAAAATTGGATAAAAATGGTTAATATTGAAATCTGATTTAAGATTGCCACCTGCTGCCAAAGGAAGGTACAACATATTCCCAAAATCCTGGAAAGACTTGGCTCTTGGAGATCTAAGTGTGATAATAACATTAATGACGGTTAATCTTGAATATGTTTGAATAATATGGTGATGGGTATAAAAATAACATATTGAAATATTGAAGAATCAAACAATGGAAGATTATAACTTAACCTAAATATATGTATTATTAATAGAACTATATAAATTTGTTAAATGTAACAAATATGATTACCAACGTTCTATTTGTAGTAAAAGGAATGATATTCAGAATTTGATCAGCATAAAAACAACATACTAAAATATTGAACAACTTAATAAGGAAAGATTAGAATTTAACAAAAACATGTGTATTATTAGAATTATGTAACGTTAAACGTAAATATGATAAATATTTTATTTGTAGTAAAATGTGACTAGAAAGGGAATATTTTTAAATATAACAGTGACATAACTAAAAATTAGAGAGGGGATAAACCACGGAAGATTATAATTTAATATAAATGTGTGTATTACTATTAGAACTATATAAGTCTTAAATACAACAAATATAATTATTAATATTTTATTTGTAGTAAAAGGAGTGACATTTAGTATATGGAGATTGGCATAAAAATAACATACTGAAATATCGAATAATCAAATAATGAAAGATTATAATTGAACAAAATAGGTGTATTATTACTAAAACTATATGATTGTCAACTGTATTAAATATGAAGAATATTGTTTTATTTGTACCAAAATGTAAGACACTCCGGTGTCACACTGTTCACATAACAATATGTTTGTAAAAATATAAAAAAAAAAACTTGGGGGAAAAAAAAAGAATTTGGGTGGTACAAAATGTAAATTTTAATCCCATCACTGGAGATGAAGGTCTTTCTTAATGAACACAAACTATCTGCTGGGGGCTATTAAGAAAGACTGCTTTCTTTCTTTAAAAGCCTGTTTCTCCATTTCTCCTTTTGGGAAATATAATATTCTGCCTCTATAAACGATTTCCTGTGGCTCCTTGTTGTGGCCCCCCAGCTGCCAGGGGAGGCCTGTTCCGGATGCAGGTATGCACAGAGCACTTAGGAGAGGTGAAAAAAGGAGGACAAGGAGTCCACTCAGGAAGCAAATGCTGAATGGCTCCTCCCTGGGAGTAAATAGAAGGAAAGGGGAGTGGTTGTTGTAGGAGACAACAGTCCTTTTTCTGGAGATTTTGCTCATTGTGTTTCATGCAACAAAGACTGCTTGCCAGAACTTAATTTGCAGCCTTTTCGTTGGGAGCTCAAGGCTTTGCAATTATCCTGAGGAACTGATAATTGATTGCTTATTTGTACCCTATAACTATCATTAACTGCTGTACCTTATGATTCTTGATGAACGTATCTTTTATGTACACTGAGAACATATGCACCAAGACAAATTCCTTGTGTGTCCAATCCCACTTGGCCAATAAAAATTCTATTCTATTATATTCTATGTGTAAAGCTACATTACTTAAAGGTAATTTGTATGGTTTCTCTCCTGTATAATTCTGAGTGAAATCTTTCCCACAATCAGGACATTCAAAGGGTTTCTCTCCTGTGTGAGTCCTCTGGTGTATCACAAGGTGGGAATTTGCAATGAAACGTTTCCCACAATCAGGACAGTAATATGATTTCTTTCCTGTGTGCATCCTCTAGTGTCACACCAGGTTGGAATTCTGACTGAAAGTTTTCCGACAATCAGAACATTCAAAGAGTTTTCCCCACCTGTGAGTCCTCTGATATATCACCAAGTTGCCATACTTGCAAAAGCGTTTACTTCATTGGGAGCAGCTACAGGGCTTCTCTCCTGTGTGGGTCCTTTCATGAACCACAAGGGAGGTAATCTAACTAAAACTTTTTCCACATTTGGATAATTTTTATGGCTTTCCTCCAGTATGTGTCTGGTTCCTAGCAGAGATCAGGACATCATCAAAATAGGGCATGACACCTGGAATGCCCTGGAGCAGTCGCTCCATTAGGTTCTGAAATATTCCAGGGACCACGCTCACTCCAAATTGGAGGTGGCGGCATTTAAAAGCTCTCCAATGGTTCTAGGATGCCTTGAGCTATTAATTTATCAAGCTCCTCGTCCACTTTTGGACAGAACGCAAAGGGCATCATTCTAGGTTTCAGGTGAACAGGGGCAACCCGTGTGTCCAAATGGAAAGAAATATATTTACCCAAGGTGCCATTGAAAATGTCTGTGAATTCCTTGGTTAACTCTGCAAAGTCATCTGAAGAGGTTGAATGGATGCCAGATATGCTGAGTCCCAAAGCCTGGAACCAATCTAACCCTAATAGTCTGGTAGGGCACCATCCACGATGACAAGCTGCAGTGGGCCAGTGAAGTTGGAGCTTTCAACCTGAAAAGAGCCCCTTCCCAAAACTGGGATAGAGTTTCCTTGATAGTCCTGAAGCCTGATGTTGCAGTGATGTAAGCGTTTTTTAGAAATGTTGAGCACCAACCTTTTGAGGGTGCACCAGAAAATGATTGATTTTGAAGAGCCGGTGTCTACCTCCATCTTGCACAGGGCACCCTCTATTTTGACGATGAGGTAAAACTTGTTGTTGGGGGACCCAGTAGTGGCATGGCTAACAACTTCCTCAGCGGCAAGGGTCACGGGAGATTGCGAAACAGTCTTGCCTTGATATTTGTGATCTGTTGTGTGGTCGTCTGATGTAGGAACGCTTGGGTGGCTTATCCCAATGGTTTTGCTGGTCAGCAGCAGGCAGAGGGGCACAGCAGACCTTGGCCAAGTGACTTTTCTTGCCACACCGATGCCAGATGGCGGTTTTGAACTTGCAGGTTGCCCTCCATTGCATGGAGTCTGAGAGAATTTTTTTTCTGGTGTCCATTTTATTCCGATTAATGTCCTGAGGCGGCTAACATCACCATCATCATTGGAGGTCTCATCCAGGTCGCTGTTATCTTTGTGATTAACTGCTGTGGTTTGGCGGGCAGGAACAGCCCCAAAATGAGACTTTTGTATTTCAGCTTATTATTAGACATCTCAGAGGCACGGGTTTAATCAAGTGTGGTCTGGAGATTGAACTCGGTCTGCGCTAACAGGTGGCGTTGCAACTGCAGGTCGTTCACACCACATATTAGCTACTCTAGAAGGGAATCATCCAGGTCGTGAAAAACACAGTCTAGGGCGGTGGTCCGTAGGGAGGCCATATACTGATTAATGGGCTCTTCTGCATCCTTTGACGGAACGCGAATCGCTGAGATATTCATGATGGAACTGGGGCGTAATGGTTCCTCAATTTCTTGAGCAGAACTTTCCAAGGCACGGTATGGATGGCTTGAGGGGCAACCAAAGCCCTAGCCATTCCAAACATTTCGGGGCAACATGAGTTTAAAAAGTGAGCTCTCTTCCAGCTACTTGACAGTTTGGTGAGATCGTTTGCCGCAGGAAACACTCGGATCTTTCCAAATACACATCCCAGGTCTCGGTGACCGGGCTAAAAGCCACAAATGGGTTCAGTGTAGCCATCCTGAAAAGGACAAGTGGCTGTGGAGATTGCTTCAGTGACTAGGCAGCATTCAGCTCAACATATCTTCGCTCAGCTCCGTGACTCAGCCTGTCATTCACCTCAGATATCCCACCTTCGTCACCAGTATTACATACTAAGTGCAGGTTGGCGATTGACTGAGGCGAGACAGTTGTTTGAATGATAACCCTTTATTGAACGACCTAACAAGGTAACAAGTAGAATGAGGCAAACCCAGAAAGACCTGGCACTTTACTGTCTGACAGCTCTTTATATACTTTGCTGTCAGACAGCTAGCCAATGGCGAGGCTGTGCTCTCCCGTCCTGACCCAGGCAATTCAAATGCGCCTCTACGTTGGCATGCTCCACGTTCGATGTGGTAGCCTCGAAGACACAACAGTTTCCCTCCTGTATGTATCCTCTGGTGTCTCATCAGGTTAAAACGGTGACTTTTCACACAATCCAGACATTCAAAGGGTTTCTCTCCTGTGTGGGTCCTTTGGTGGTTCACCAGGTTGAAATTCTGACTGAATTTTTTCCCATACTGTGGACATCCATATGGTTTTTCTCCTGTGTGAGTCCTCTGGTGTTTCACCAGGTCAGAACAGTAAGTGAAACTTTTCCCACACTCTGGTCACTCGTATGGCTTCACTCCTGTATAACTCCTCTGGTGTATCAGTAGATCAGAATTCCAACTGAAATTTTTTCCACAATCTGGACATTCATATTGTTTCTCTCGTGTGAGTCCTCTGGTGTTTCACCAGTTTGGAATTCTCACAATTTTTCCCCACAAACCGGACATTCAAAGGGTTTCTCCCCTGTGTGAGTCCTTTGGTGTATCAACAAGCTGGACCTATGACAGAAACTTTTCCCACAATCAGGATGATCAAAGGGTTTCTCCCATGTGAATCCTCTGGTGTTTCACCAGGCCGGAATTCTGACTGAATTGTTTCCCACAAACAGGACATTCAAAGGGTTTCTCTCCTGTGTGAGTCCTCTGGTGTTGAACTAAATTGGAATTGTGACTGAAACTTTTCCCACAATCAGGACATTCAAAGGGTTTCTCTCCTGTGTGAGTCCTCTGGTGTTGAATCAAATGGGAATTCAAACTGAAATGTTTGCCACAATCAGAACATTCAAAGGGTTTCTCTCCTGTGTGAGTCCTCTGGTGTTGAACCAGATTGGAATTCAAACTGAAACGTTTGCCACAATCAGAACATTCAAAGGGTTTCTCTCCTGTGTGAGTCCTCTGATGAATCAGCAGGCTTGAATTCTGACTGAAACCTTTCCCACAATCAGGACATTCAAAGGGTTTTTCTCCTGTGTGAGTCCTCTGGTGATCCAACAGGTGGGAATTTGCAATGAAACTTTTCCCACAATCAGGACATTCAAAGGGTTTCTCTCCTGTGTGAGTCCTCTGGTGTTGAACTAAATTGGAATTCTGACTGAAACTTTTCCCACAATCAGGACATTCAAAGGGTTTCTCTCCTGTGTGAGTCCTCTGGTGTATCACCAGGTGGGAATTTGCAACGAAACTTTTCCCACAATCAGTACAGTCATACGATTTCTTTCCTGTGGGCATCTTCTACTGTACCACCAGATTGGAATACTGCATTGGGAGCAGCTATAGGGCTTCTCTCCTGTGTGGGTCCTTTCATGAATAATCTAACTAAATCGTTTCCCACATTCGGATAATTTGTATGGCTTTTCTCCAGCATGGATCCTGTTATTCATAATCTGTGATTTGCTATGCGTGCTTTTCCCACAATAGGCACATCTATGGAGCTTTTCCACCACTGATGTTCTTGAAGAAGTCAAAAATATGTGATCTTTTGTTGCATGGAGCTTTGATTCAAGCTACTGTTTTCTTCCTCACGGGGCAAGGCTTGCATTACTCTCTACCTTTTGTGGCTATTCAATTATCTTTTTTCTCCTCACTCACCTCTAGATATTTCCCTTTTTTTCTGAATGGAAAAAAATAATCTCCTTTGACCTTTTCACGTAATCTATTGTTGAGTTCTGCATACTCTACTTTTCCAGTTTGAAATCTCTTCTTGATTTTCTCCCCTTTGTCTCTCACCAACTGGGGAAAGAGAAGAATTGTGTGCTTTTCTGAGGGCTCAATTTGCTTTCATTTTCAAAGTTGCTGGTAATTCTCAGTTGTCCGGAGTGCTCTTATTGGTATCTTCTTCATCTGTAAAATTTAAATAAAAGTGTAAGTTTAAAATTGTTTCTTTATAAAATGGTTACAGAAGATGTGAAAAAAGTATACATTACAAATAAAAAGCAAACATGCCATAATGCTGAAATAGTTTCTAATGTTAATTATGATTCATTTGACACATTGAAGATTAATGAGTTCCAAGTTCAAATATACATTCAAATAAAAATACACTTTATACACTTTATACAAAAATACACTTGTTGACTTGGGTCAATCACATATTCTTCATACTGTGATTATTGGGTAGAATCTCTGTAATTCAGATAAATGGTTTACCAAACATGCTATTTGTCTTTCTTCGGTGTGTTTCTGGTCAGAGGGATGCAATTCATGCCGCCACTGCCATTATTGTTATTAAGTTCGGTGGCTGTGGCTGTGGCAGTGCGGCCACCACTGCCACTGGTGGCAGTTTTGGTGGCAGCTTTGCCATCACTCACCGTGACCAGCGGTGCTTGTTTGGCCCGCTGTCAGCGTTCCAAATTAGGCTCTCTTCCAACGCTGACATGAACGAGATTAAGCAGAGAGCAGAAGTTTGATTTATTGCTGAGATGAACTTTTACCTAGTTTTTTGTATGTTACAGATAGTGTTTCCTGGGTGACGAGGGTGGGGGCCACATTCCTGTGAAAAGAACGTGCCGGGATGTAGAGATGGATCTGCATGATGGCCAATGGGACATTGGGGTTGGAGAGCGGAAGAGGAGGGAGTTGGAAGGAGGGGCCAGTTTGGCTGCAACTTGAATCAGGAATGTCGGATTCTGCTATTCTTAAAATAAAAGTGATTCATTAGAGACTTTGCGCTTGAGAATGAAGTTTATTTAAGATAGCACCGAAACCTGACAGACAGCCAAACTCTCCTCCAAATCCAGGCTGGCTGAGTTTAAATCATCCCGTTCCCTCCCAGACATCTGGTCGGACGGACTATGGCTGAAGCCAAGCTCTCGGAGGAAAGCCTGCTTCAAGAAACGGGAGGAGCAGAAGCGGTCATGATTCCAGCCAACTTGGAAAATACAAAGGTTCAACTTTCTCCGCCTTCCCTCCCCGCAGAACTTCAAGCAAAGAAACGTGAGCCAGATAAGTACCCGGGGACTGTGCCAAAAGCCTTAGAGGCGGAATTTCCTTTTGCAAATGTAAAAGATAAAGAAAAACCCCTAAGTGAATTGGGAAGGGCGAGCTGGGGATGGGAATGGCAGCGAAGCTCAGACAAGGCAGCACCTCCCTACCCCAGGATGAGAGATGAGGCAGAGGACTATCAACACCAAGGCCGGCCCTCCAGAACTCAGCACAGAGAGGAGAGGGCAGAGAGGGAGGAGCCACCCCAGTTCAGAGGGAAGTTCGATGGTGACCCAGACAACCTCGCCCAATTCCTCGATTCAGCTGAGATATACATAGAGCGGTTCGGACGCCTCTACCCTTTCCCCAGAGCCCTAGTGAATGCTATCTCGGAAGGGCTGGAGGGAGAAGCAAAGAGGTGGTTAGCATCACTCTACAAAAACAGGGCCCCCCAGCTACAAGATGCGGATGGGTTCTTGCAACTATTGAGAGCCCATTATGAGGAGGAGGAGGAGGACCCCTATGTGGAAGACGAGCTCAGAAACCTAATGCAGAGGGGGAAGCCTATCAGAGAGCATATCCGTGAATTCAGGAGAGTCATTGGGACACTGCCTCCCCTACCAGAGCGATTGCTGGTGTATTTTTTTAGAACAAGCCTAGATAAAAGAATTTCCCAAGTGACTGCCTATCGTGACATCCCAAACCGACTCGCTGAATGGTTCCGGGTAGCGATAAAAGTCGACAGAGGGCTGCGGGCGAGTGACACGTCAAAACCACCAGAGGGAAAGGAGAGAGGCCGACCAGACCAGGGGCCACTCAACAGACGAGAAACCCCAACGTCACAGCCCTCCTACAGACCAACTGCCCCACGGAGCCCACTGAAATGCTACAGATGTGGAGGAAGCGGCCACATAGCAGCAAGATGTGGAATGCCTAGACCGGGACCAGCTCCACTGCCCAAAGCACGACCGGAACGAGGGCCCAAGCGCGTCACCCACGTACCGCGGGAAGCTCCCCAAATCCCGGAGTTTTTCGCTCATTTGACCAAAACCAGAGGAATCACAGATGAGGGAGATCAGTCCCCCGAACCCTATGACACTGAGGACGAAGGCGAGGATGACCTGATGGTGAGTGGACCCGTCCATCCTTTTCTTTTCCCCATACGCCTAACAGCCCCCAAAACAGGGGCCCAAGAGACTTTCCAAGCCCTAATAGACTCGGGTAGCACACGGTGCCTAATCAACCTACCCACAGTTCTAAAATTGGGAATCCGAGCTAAACAGCTCAAACAACCAATTCGCTTCGAGCAAGTTCATGGGTCCCTAGTGGGAGGAGCGTACGCCACACACTTGACTGAACCCGTGAGACTAGAACTCGCAGATCACTGGGAGACGATCCGCTTCATAATAGCCCCCAAGATGACAGAACCAGTCATATTGGGACTCTCGTGGCTCGACAAATGGAGCCCAATCATTTGGTGGCAAGAGGGAACCCGCAGGCTGAGAATAGCAAAGGGGCCCCAACCCCTGCCGCCCCGACCAGAAGAATTCCCTCCCACGCTGAAACCCCAAAGCAGCCCTCCACTACAGAAGAAAACACCACCAACACAAGGGTCCCTCCCAGAAGGTGCAGCAAAGCAATTGGCAGCCGCACCCACCACCGCTTGTAACGCAAACCAGATCCCAAGGGAGTACCAAGACCTTGCAGGGGTATTCAGCGAGGCCACGAGGGGGTCTTAGCTAGCCTTGCTGGCTGATGGTCACATGTGCTTCCCAGGTCACATGCTTCCCAGGTCACGTGTGGTGAGTTTCGGTTGCTATATGGGGCCCATTGTGTTAGTTTTTTGTTGCTATTGTGTTGCAAATGTCCTTTGACAAAGGATTGACTTTCTGCCTCTGGCCCATTAACAAAGGGTGGGGGGCAGGAAGGTGGGAGCTGCTTTGTCTGTAAAATATGCTTCTCCATTTCTCATCCAGGGAAATATAATATTCTGCCTTTTTAATATTTCCCAAAATATTTCATTCTTCTAGGAAAGGGGTGGGTGCTAACCTCCTACAACTGTTTAAATTTGTGAACCGGCCAAATACTCTGTTCAAAGAAAATACGTTGTATGTTTGTATGTGTGTTTCTAATTATTGCTATTTATTGCTATTTGTTCTCTTTTATTCTTTAACAATTCATTCTTTATCTTAATATCTTTATATTTTTTGGGGTTGGCTTTCTTCCCTTTCATCTTTTTTATTGTACAGCAATCTTTCTCCTCAAACCTACCACCTCTGTCTTTTTTTCCTTCTTCCTTTCTCTTTCTCCTCCTCTCTTCCTCCCTCTCTTACCCTCACTCCTACTCTAATTTCCCTTCCCTTCCTTCATCCCTTTCTATTGCTATATCCTTTTATGGATATGGACTACTCAGAGGGCTGAAAAAGTTATTTTTGACTGGTCCTCGTACTTTTGACCAGTCCTCAAATTTACGACTGTCCTCACATTTTACGTTTTTTGCCCTATCTTATCACCATGTTGAAGAGAAGCAGTTGTGAAATGAGTGACATGGTTGTTAAGAATGCTGCACAGGCATAAATGTGAGGATGGTCATAAGTGTGAGGACCAGTCAAAAGTGCGAGGACCTGTCAGAAATGACTTTTTTCAGCCCTCTGAGTAGTCCCTATACAAATAGCCACGCCCACCCAGTCACATGACCTCCAAGCCACGCCCACAAAATAAGCCACGCCCACAGAACCGGTAGTAAAACAATTTAGAACCCACCCCTGGTTGGGGGTCACCACAACATGAGGAACTGTATTAAAGGGTTGCGGCATTAGGAAGGGTGAGAATCACTGATGTAGAGCATTGTAAGATTCAGTGGGCAAAGAACTTTGGATTTAATATAATGCTTGAAGACTGGAAGAATACAACAGAATTACAGAGTTGGAAGGGACCTTGGAGGTCTTCTAGTCCTACCTCCTGCTCAGGGAGGAAGCTCTATACCAAATGGTTTTATGATGTTGGGATCTACCATTGAAGAAGTTCTCAAGAATGTATAAGGCACCTTGAATGTTGGAAAGGTAAATAAGAAATGTTATCATTTATAGTGGACATGTGACAAAGAAATATTCTATTAAGATTCACATCTTAATACAGAAGTTTCTTATAGAGAATATAATGATAAAACCAGAAAGTTTTCTTTTAGTAGATAAAGAAATTGAAAAAAATGAAACTTTGATGTTATATGTGTTGTTGGCATCAAGAATGCTATATGCACAAAAATGGAAGGATATTTTCATTCCCACAATGGATGAATGGCTGCAAAATCTGATGGTTAGCAGAGATGGTTTTGTGCAAAATGAGGAAAATTTGGTAAAACAAATTAGAGATCAAAAACAAATGCATATCAAAAGGTTGTATAATGCTTTATTGGAAATAGATTCAGAGACGGAACTGGTTAAAGATTGCATGATGAAATGGGCACAAAATTTTCAAGAGCCAGTGATGATGGAGATTTGGGAAAAGATTTGGATTAGAAATGTGAAATTTACACAAGCACAAAATTTAAGAGAAAACTTTTATAAAATGTTTTATAGAATGCACTTAGATCCCAAAAAACTATCATGTATGTATCCTAATGTGCAAGCTAAATGTTGGAGATGTGATTGTGATGATGCAACTTATTATCATATATGGTGGACTTGTAAAAAAATCAAAGCATTCTGGATAAAGATTTGGTGGGTGATGCAGAATATTTTTAAAAAAAGATTGAAATTTACTCCACACTTGTTTCTACTGGGTATAACTACGGACTGTACAGTTGTAGAGACTAAACTGATCCTGAATTTAATAACAGCAGCAAGATTGTTGATAGCACAACATTGGAAGAAGGACTTTTTGCCTACTATTGATGCTTGGATACTGAAAGTAACTAATTTAGCTGAAATGGCTAAAATCTCAGCATACTTGAAGGATCATACACAAGAAAGATATATATTGGATTGGAGAAGATGGATTGATTATATTCAAAATAAGTATCAGACTAAAAAATATCAAATAGCTTATGAATGAATCTTTAATGGTATAAGCGTTATATGAGTGATTTCAGAAGTATTATATCCAAGAAGCATGATTTTATCTATGGGGGGTTAAGCATTTTTTTAAAGAGGGGATGTTAGTTTAATGGATAGTTAAGCAATTTAGTTTATTGTTAAAAAGTTAACTGAAATACCTTGTGTTCTGCTCTGGGAAGTCGGGGAGGGGGAGGGGGGATGGGTGGGAGGGTTGTGGGAAAATTGTGTTTTTTCTTGCTTAAAACTTTTTCAATAAAAAAAAAAGAATGCTATATGCACAAAAATGGAAGGATATTTTCATTCCTACAATGGATGAATGGCTGCAAAACCTGATGATTAGCAGAGATGGCTAAATTTACTGCTTTGATTAAAGAAAAGAACAGGATTAATTTTGTTTCTACATGGAAACCACTTTTGGACTTTGTTCCTGAGATAGAAAAAAATGAAAGTTTGATTTTGGGTTTTGTTGATTAAATACGTTTGTTGTTATACAAGTAGCTAGTTCATATTATCAGATAAAAGTAAACAGTTGAGGTTTTATATTATTATTCTACTGCAGCAAAAGAGTCAGAAGACAATGCTTTTCTTTTTCCTTTCCCCTTTCCCCTACACTTTCCTCTCTTCCTCCATTTTTCCATTATTTTTATTTCTTCTTTGTACTTCCGTATTTTACATTTTGATGAATTAATAAAATATTTGGTTAAAAACAAATTCTTAACACTGCAAAGGGTTATTATGAAATATATCTAGAAGTCCTGGGAATGGATTATACAATTTAGATAGATGCATACAGAGAGAAGTACAAATAGACACTCCTACAAGTATGTATATATGTGGAGAATCCATGTTTTCTGCCTGAAAACTGTCCCAAAACCTAAAATGGTTACAGTCAAACCTTCCGTGCTAATTTTAGAGATGTGGGGGCTTTAATTGATAAAATGATGCCTAAAGAAGAAATGAAAGAGCAACAAACATGACTGGGGGCTTGAGGGAAAAACATATGAAGAACAGTTGTAGGAATTGGGTAGATCTAGTCATGACCGCCAAGGTCCCATCCATCTCCGTTTTTCTATATTCTATTCTATGTTCCGGTTGCTTCTCTGCTTCCACGCAGCGGAGGAAATCAAGCAGCCTTTCCTGCTCCCAGCCTCTCCTCCGACCTGCCCTCCACTCACCCACCAGCTGCTGCTTCGGCTCTTGGAAGAGCAGAGAAGCCACTCGGCGCACCACCTTCCTCCCGCGAGCGATCCGGTAGATCCAGCCCTCCCCTCCCCTCCCTTCTCGCAATGCAGTACTTGATGGTTTTAACTCCTTAAGGCTCAGCCCCAGATGCCTCTGTAGCGACGGCTTCCTAGGCGCCGATGTTGCCCATCTGACCGCCATCTCCCGATAGGAGGCCGTAAAACAGGCTCGTCCCGTCTCTACCTGTGAAGGCGTTTGCAAGACGTTTTCACCGATTCCACGCCCTCAAGTCACTTTCCACTCCTGGCAGCCGATGCGAGTGAAATAGTGGAACGTGACCCTTCTTAACTTGGGAAGATTAGCTACAGGCTGAGCCTTAAACGCTCATAAAGTTATTAAAGAATTACAGAGTAAGAGTTGGAAGGGACCAACACTCCATGCAGGGATCCTATATTGTTCCGGACAAATGGCTCTCCAGTCGCCTCTTAAAAAACACGGGTGATGGAGCACCCACAACTTCTGGAGCCAAGCCATTCCACTGATCAATTGTTCCGACTGACAGGAAGTTTCTCCTTGATTCTAGGTTGGATCCCTTTCTGATATGTCTCCCTCTGAAGAATAGGCTGCCCCCTCCCCCCTTTCTGTGTCAGCCCACCTCAATTGTGGTTGTATGTCAAGGATTACCTGTAGTATCTTTTTATCTTCATTCTTGCAGAGCCTAAAGAATTGCTCTGAGCAATCTTCCCAATGTCCTACCAATCGAGGAGGTAAATTTCCATCTTGATTATTCCGAGGCAGGCACCTTGGGAAAACCCTTGGAGGGTGCTTCTTTGTAAAAAGCTGATCTAGAGATACCCGATCTTTTTTTGTGTGTGACTTTCAGTGGAGATCAAAACTGCTCTACATCCTGTTAGAATAAAAATCCAGGTCCACTTCCAAGCTGGGAATAAATGGAGGCTGTTTAAGAAAGGAGGTCCGTTTATTGATGAGCAGAACCAGCCTGTGGTTCCAGGGCAGCTGACCGACTGGTTGAATGAGTGGATGGATCTTTATAGGTTTCTGAGATGCTGCTGGGGTTGTATAATGTAGTGAACTCTGTTTTGCTATTCTAATGGTGGTGGGTTAATCCTATTATATCCTGTTCTTAGATGTCCCAAAGGTGCTTTTTCAGAAGGCAATTGGACTTCCTTCTTTGTTTTCTTTTGAAGATGTTTCCCTTCTCATCGAAGAAGCTTCTTCATCTGTGACAGGATAGTGGGGAATGGAATCCTGTCAGAGCTGAAGGATCTTCTTGGATGAGAAGCAAAACATCTTCAAAAGTAAAATAAACAAACAAGGAAGTCCAGTTGCCACCTGAAACAGCACCTTTGGGACAACCATGATCTGGATGACTGAGAATCTCTACAAACTCCTGTTCTTAGAATTTGGGTGGTGGAGAATGTAAATGTTAATGCCATCGCTGGAGATGAAAGTCTGTTAAGTTGTGAATTGGCTGGCCCAGTCTTCTTTAATGAACACAAAATCTGCTGGAGTCTATTAAGAAAGACTGAGTCTGCTTCCTTTAAAAGCATGTTTCTCCATTTGTTTTTTAGGGAAATATAATATTCTGCCTCTTAATATTCCCCAAAATATTTCATTCTTCCGGGTGTAGGGTCTTTCCCACAATCCCAAAACTTTGACTGATTTCCTGTAGTGCCCAAGGATTTAGGACATGGCAGCACCATGAGGCCAGACACTCCAAGGGAGCCAGTTTCATTCCTGCTGGCCAGGGCTGCATCCAAGAGCACCCACAGCGCCAATTCAATCCCGAAGGAGGAAATTTTATATCTGAAAAAATGCCACGTGCTTATGTAAATCTGCCTGCATGGAAGTCTCCATTACGTCAGAGAGAGAGAACAATATGCAGCAGGGCCTAGAAAACAGGGTCTAAAAAAGAGGGGTTGATTGTATATGGTAGAAGAAATGTTTCAAAAGATATTTGTAAAGTTACAAGGGAAACTTTAGTTGTCCAGTTTGAAATGTCCTAATTTTGACCTCTCAGACTAGCAATGCTGGAGAAGACCTGAATCTAAGAATGCCAATCAAAACAGATCCAGTTTAGCCATTCTAATTTTTTAACTCTGCATAAAGAAATGTCATTCTTTCATAGAATTTAGGACTGAGGTAAATAGCAATGCAACAAATTAAGAGGCAGAAGCCTAATTACAGCTCACATCAGAGGCACAGAGTGGCTGGATTGAGGTACTAGTGAAACTGAAAATTTAAATTTATAATGAGGGAAATGAAGTTGAAGAAGACAGATTGGTTATGAGGTGCAGAATGCAAAAGAGACAGATTACAGGTAAATTAACAATTGTAGAGTGTTAGAAACCCACTATATGTGTGGAGAACTCACCATTGAAGAATTATTGAGAAAAGGGCTTTGTGTTACAATTTTATTATTAAACTTATTTACTGCACATCTGGCAGTTTGAGGCCATTCTGAGTGCGTTGCCTTGCCCTAACATTCATAGCAACACTGACGGCGCCTGATTTTTTCCTTGCCAAAAGATATTGATAGTCCTTACATTACAGAATGCATTATTAAAAATGAACGATTTTCCACTGTTCAACTTGTTCCTCATATCGCCACCACCAAGGGGATACAATAGAAATGTCAGAGTGCTGCTATCACCCAGCAGCCATCAAAGGGAAACAAGCAGGCACCTCCAAGAAAATGAGATCATAGCAGGAGTTGCTAATAAAACTTTTAGATCCTGTCATCAAAGCCACCATCCCTTTTCTCCTCAATACAATATTCCTACAGCTCTTCTCCATCAGGTTCATCTGCAAGGCAGAATAGCCTTTTCAGTTGAAATTTTACATTGTTTTCTTCATTGAGCTTTGGGCCTATTCCCTACACGCCCCTCACCCATCAAACACTTACCTTTTGGAGACCTCCTGGAGGCAGCCATAATTTTCAGTTCACCCACAATCCCTTAATGCAGTTTGCACAGTGTTAAGGAAGCGAAACAGAGCAGTTTCTCCCTCTCCCATGCAACAATGACTCAGAAGCAGCCACCATTTTGGCCCTGAGGGAGGTGTGACAAAATGGCAGCTGCTTCCACAAGTCCATCACATGGCCCAGGGTTGAATCCCGGGCACACTGAAAATAACGGCTGCTTCCAGGACATAGCCATCCAGCCCTGGGATGTATGTCCTGGTCTTCTTCACCAACTTGAGGTTCAGAGATTTTCAAAGGTTATGGAGGAGGCTGTGAGGCTTGGTGGGGTGGGAGTCAGGCCTAAGGACTGTGGGGATGTAGCAGGAGAGGAAAAAAGCCTTTGGGGATTCTGTGGGTGGGGAAAAGGCTTGTGGAGACCCTGTGAAGGAAGGAAACCCCTGTGGGGACCTTCGGGAGCAGGGAAATGCCTATAGGGACCCTGTGGGAGGGAAATGCTTAATAACAAAAGAAAACAGGTTAGTACCTTCATCAAATTAATATTTACCATTTTTTCTCTCCAATCACAGATCTACTTCTGAGATATATTTCAGTAAAATGAATCAGGACGGAACTTAAATAGTCAATTTCTCATCTACACTTCCAATGACAAATCAAAAATGAAATTTAAGCCTTCTCTAAACTCATCATCTTTTGCCTAATGTGGATTTCCTTGACTTTTTCTCCGGTGTGTAAACCTACATTACTTATAGGTCATTTGTATGGTTGAAATGGTGACTTTTAGCAGAATCCAGACATTCAAAGGGTTTCTCTCCTGTGTGAGTTCTCTAGTGTAGGTTTGAAGTTAGGCTGAAACTTTTCCCAAAATTTGGACACGTGTGTGGCTTCACTCCTGTATACGTCCTCTTGTGTATCAGCAGCAGGGGTGAAATCCAGCAGGTTCTGACAGGTTCTGGAGAACCGGAAGCAGAAATTTTGAGTAGTTCAGAGAACCGGCAAATACCACCTCTGGCTGCTCCCAGTGGGGTGGGAATGGAGATTTTGCAATATCTTTCCTCTGCAATGGGGTGGGAGTGGAGATTTTGCAGTATCCTTCCCCTGTGATGCCCACCAAGCCATGCCCACCAAGCCACACCCACAGAACCGGTAGTAAAAAAAAATGAAATTCAGCACTGATCAGTAGATCAGAATTCATATCGTTTCTCTCGTGTGAGTCCTCTGGTGTTTCACCAGTTTGGAATTCTCACTGAATTTTTTCTCACAAACAGGACATTCAAAAGGTTTCTCCCCTGTGTGAGTCCTGTGGTGTTTCACCAGGCTGGAATTCTGACTGAATCGTTTTCCACAAACAGGACATTCAAAAGGTTTCTCTCCTGTGTGAGTCCTCTGGTGTATTACTAGGCTGGAATTCCGACTGAAACATTTCCCACAATCAGGACATACAAATGGTTTCTCACCTGTGTGAGTCCTGTGGTGTTCCACCAGGCTGGAATTCTGACTGAAACGTTTCCCACAATCAGGACAATCAAAGGCTTTCTCCCCTGTGTGAGTCCCCTGGTGTATCACCAGGCTGGAATTCTGACTGAAACGTTTCCCACAAACAGGACATTCAAAGGGTTTCTCTCCTGTGTGAGTCCTCTGGTGGTTAACCAAACTGGAATTGAAACTGAAATCTTTTCCACAGTCAGGACATTTAAAGGGTTTATTCAATGTGTGAGTCCTCCGGTGTTTAACCAAACTGGAATGGAAACTGAAACTTTCCCCACAATCAGGACATTCAAAGGGTTTTTCTCCTGTGTGAGTCCTCTGATGGTTCACCAAGTCATAATTCTGACTGAAACTTTTCCCACATTCAGGGCATTCAAAGGGTTTTTCTCCTGTGTGAGTCCTCTGGTGTTTCACCAGCTCAGAATTCCAAATGAAACGTTTGCCACAATCAGAACATTCAAAGGGTTTCTCTCCTGTGTGAGTCCTCTGGTGTTTCACCAGGCTGGAATTCTGATGGAATAGTTTCCCACAAATAGGACATTCAAAGGGTTTTTCTCCTGTGTGGGTCCTCTGGTGTTTCACCAGGTCATAATTCTGACTGAAACTTTTCCCACAATCAGGACATTCAAAGGGTTTCTCCCCTGTGTGAGTCCTCTGATGTTTAACCAAGCTGGAATTCAAACTGAAACTTTTCCCACAATCAGGACATTCAAAAGGTTTTTCTCCTGTGTGAGTCCTCTGATGAATCAGCAGGCTTGAATTCTGACTGAAACTTTTCTCACAATCAGAACATTCAAAGAGTCTCTCTCCTGTGTGAGTCCTCTGGTGTTTCACCAGGCTGGAATTCTGACGGAATAGTTTCCCACAAACAGGACATTCAAAGGGTTTTTCTCCTGTGTGGGTCCTCTGGTGTTTCACCAGGTCATAATTCTGACTGAAACTTTTTCCACAATCAGGACATTCAAAGGGTTTCTCCCCTGTGTGAGTCCTCTGGTGTTTAACCAAGCTGGAATTCAAACTGAAACTTTTCCCACAATCAGGACATTCAAAGGGTTTTTCTCCTGTGTGAGTCCTCTGATGAATCAGCAGGCTTGAATTCTGACTGAATCTTTTCTCACAATCAAGACATTCAAAGGGTTTTTCTCCTGTGTGAGTCCTCTGGTGTTTAACCAAATTGGAATTCCAACTGAAACGTTTGCCACAATCAGAACATTCAAAGGGTTTCTCTCCTGTGTGAGTCCTCTGATGAATCAGCAGGCTTGAATTCTGACTGAAACCTTTCCCACAATCAGGACATTCAAAGGGTTTTTCTCCTGTGTGAGTCCTCTGGTGATCCAACAGGTGGGAATTTGCAATGAAACTTTTCCCACAATCAGGACATTCAAAGGGTTTCTCTCCTGTGTGAGTCCTCTGGTGTTGAACTAAATTGGAATTCTGACTGAAACTTTTCCCACAATCAGGACATTCAAAGGGTTTCTCTCCTGTGTGAGTCCTCTGGTGTATCACCAGGTGGGAATTTGCAACGAAACTTTTCCCACAATCAGTACAGTCATACGATTTCTTTCCTGTGGGCATCTTCTACTGTACCACCAGATTGGAATACTGCATTGGGAGCAGCTATAGGGCTTCTCTCCTGTGTGGGTCCTTTCATGAATAATCTAACTAAATCGTTTCCCACATTCGGATAATTTGTATGGCTTTCCTCCAGCATGGATCCTGTTATTCATAATCTGTGATTTGCTATGTGTGCTTTTCCCACAATAGGCACATCTATGGAGCTTTTCCACCACTGATGTTCTTGAAGAAGTCAAAAATATGTGATCTTTTGTTGCATGGAGCTTTGATTCAAGCTACTGTTTTCTTCCTCACAGGGCAAGGCTTGCATTACTGTCTACCTTTTGTGGCTATCCAATTATCTTTTTTCTCCTCACTCACCTCTAGATATTGCCCTCTTTTTCTGAATGGAAAAAAATAATCTCCTTTGACCTTTTCATGTAATCTATTGTTGTGTTCTGCATACTCTACTTTTCCAGTTTGAAATCTCTTCTGGATTTTCTCCCCTTTGTCTCTCACCAACTGGGGAAAGAGAAGAATTGTGTGCTTTTCTGAGGGCTCAATTTGCTTTCATTTTCAAAGTTGCTGGTAATTCTCAGTTGTCCGGAGTGCTCTTATTGGTATCTTCTTCATCTGTAAAATTTAAATAAAAGTGTAAGTTTAAAATTGTTTCTTTATAAAATGGTTACAGAAGATGTGAAAAAAGTATACATTACAAGTAAAAAGCAAACATGCCATAATGCTGAAATAGTTTCTAATGTTAATTATGATTCATTTGACACATTGAAGATTAATGAGTTCCAAGTTCAAATATACATTCAAATAAAAATACACTTTATACACTTTATACAAAAATACACTTGTTGACTTGGGTCAATCACATATTCTTCATACTGTGATTATTGGGTAGAATCTCTGTAATTCAGATAAATGGTTTACCAAACATGCTATTTGTCTTTCTTCGGTGTGTTTCTGGTCAGAGGGATGCAATTCATGCCGCCACTGCCATTATTGTTATTAAGTTCGGTGGCTGTGGCTGTGGCTGTGGCAGTGCAGCCACCACTGCCACTGGTGGCAGTTTTGGCGGCAGCTTTGCCATCACTCACCGTGACCAGCGGTGCTTGTTTGGCCTGCATCTTCTCCAACTTAGCCTTCCACTCTCCCAAGAAATCGGTTGTGGCAGCACCGCTGCCCTGATAGCCCCCGGTGGCCATGTTTCAGGGGAGCTGCCGATTCCTTGGCGCCCTCCCAATGAGCCCCGATGTGGCTGCTGATCTTAGTCGAAAGGACTGGCAAAAGTTGCTGGCCAACCAAAGGAGAATCACCGAGTGGGGTGGGGAGGACTTCACACACCCCTCCGCTGTTGCTGCCTACAATTTAGATAGATGCATACAGAGAGAAGTACAAATAGACACTCCTACAAGTATGTATATATGTGGAGAATCCATGTGTTTTCTGCCTGAAAACTGTCCCAAAACCAAAAATGGTTACAGTCAAACCTTCCGTGCTAATTTTAGAGATGTGGGGGCTTTAATTGATAAAATGAACCTAAAGAAGGAATGAAAGAGCAACAAACATGACTGGGGGCTTGAGGCGAAAACATATGAAGAACAGTTGTAGGAATTGGGTAGATCTAGTCATGACCGCCAAGGTCCCATCCATCTCTGTTTTTCTATATTCCATTCTATGTTCCGGTTGCTTCTCTGCTTCCACGCAGCGGAGGAAATCAAGCAGCCCTTCCTGCTCCCAGCCTCTCCTCCGACCTGCCCTCCACTCACCCACCAGCTGCTGCTTCGGCTCTCGGAAGAGCAGAGAAGCCACTCGGCGCACCACCTTCCTCCCGTGAGCGATCCGGTAGATCCAGCCCTTCCCTCCCCTCCCTTCCCGCAATGCAGTGCTTGATGGTTTTAACTCCTTAAGGCTCAGCCCCAGATGCCTCTGTAGCGACGGCTTCCTAGGCGCCGATGTTGCCCATCTGACCGCCATCTCCCGATAGGAGGCGGTAAAACAGGCTCGTCCCGTCTCCACCTGTGAAGGCGTTTGCAAGACGTTTGCTCCGATTCCACGCCCTCAAGTCACTTTCCACGCCTGGCAGCCGATGCGAGTGAAATAGTGGAACGTGACCCTACTTAACTTGGGAAGATTAGCTACAGGCTGAGCCTTAAACGTTCATAAAGTTATTAAAGAATTACAGAGTAAGAGTGGGAAGGGACTCTCCATGCAGGGATCCTATATTGTTCCGGACAAATGGCTCTCCAGTCGCCTCTAAAAAAACACGGGTGATGGAGCACCCACAACTTCTGGAGCCAAACCATTCCACTGATCAATTGTTCTGACTGACAGGAAGTTTCTCCTTGATCCCTTTCTGATATGTCTCCCTCTGGTCCTTCTCGTCCTACTCTCAGGAGCTTTGAAGAATACCCCCCCCCCTTTCTGTGTCAGCCCAGCTCAATTGTGGTTGAAGGTCGAGGATTACCTGCAGCATTTGTTGGAAGAAATATCTTTCTGGGCTCAGTTCCAAGTGGGGAAAAAGAGATTGGATTCATGGAAGTTGCTTGAAAAGAAGGTTTAATGGTGGACAGGATCACAGGCTTGAAGATGTTGGGTGAAGAAAAAAAAAGGGAAGAGATATTGAGAGTGCCTGAGTTTTATACTCTCTCTGAGCTTTTGAATTTGAGCTTGAGGGGCAATCTGTAGGCTGTCCTGAGTCCCATGCTTGGTTGAGCATTGCTGTGTGATGTAATCTTCCCAGCTGCCATGTGGAGAGTTCTGTTGCTAGGTGGGTAGAGGGCTAATCCTACCTTTGTTGGATCTTGGGTGAGAGCATTTGCCTATGAATAGACCTAGCAATCTCTTTATCTCTTAAGTGAGGACCTCTGCTTTGGGCTATTGAGGATAATAGGGGCTATTAATAGTGAGTCTATTTCCTGCTTAAAAACATGTTTCTCCATTTGTCATTCAGGGAAATATAATATTCTGCCTTTTTAATATTTCCTGAAATATTTCAGTCTTCTAGGAGAGAGGTGGGTGCTAACTTCCTACATATATTCTTATCTTCATTCTTGCACACCCTAAAGAATTGCTCTGAGCAACCTCCTCAATTTCCAGAGGAGCTAGATTTCCACCTCGATTATTCCGAGGCAGACACCTTGGGCAAAGCCCTTGGAGGATGCTACTTTGTAAAAAGCTGATCTAGAGATTTGTGATCTTTTTTTTTAGCATGGCTCTCAGTGGAGATCAAAACTGTTCTACATCCTGTTAGAAGAAAAATCCAGGTCCAGTTCCAAGCTGGGAATAAAATGGAGGCTGTTTAAGAAAGGAGATCCATTTATTGATGAGCTGAACCAGCCCTGTGGTTCCAGGGCAGCTGACCGACTGGCTGAATGAGTGGATGGATCTTTATAGGTGTAGGAAGTTAGCACCCACCCCTCTCCTAGAAGAATGAAATATTTTAGGAAATATTAAAAAAGCAGAATATTATGTTGTCAAGCCCTGGCTTGCCATACCTGGGGGGTATGGGGAAACTGCTGCGGGGGCGGCATGACGGCTGCTGGAGTATCGTGGCTTCAGTAGCTGATGTCCCAGGTGCTCCCAACGGCTTCTTGCTCCTGTAGGAAGTTAGCACCCACCCCTTTCCTGGAAGAGTGAAATATTAGGAAATATGAAAAAGGCAGAAATATGAGAAGCATATTTTACAGACAAAGCAGCTCCCACCTTCCTGCCCCCCACCCTTTGTCAATGGGCCATTAAGGCCTGGGCCAGTCTACTCTACATAACAAAGATCTACCTCCTTCAGGCAGAGCCATAGTAGGAATTGTCAAAGATAGGATTAGCCCTCTACACAATAGCAGCAGAAACTCACCACATGTGACCTGGGAAGCACATGTGACCATCAGCCAGCAAGGCCCCCACCCCCTGGGAGTCTGACAACCAATCAGGATACTCTTTCAGGGCCCCAAGAAATGCAGAGCCAGAGAGAGCATAAAAACCCGAGGATTTACTGTATCTGCCCCTTTTCTGTTCAGGAACCCAAGCCATGTGATCCTGTCCACCATTAAACCATCTTTCCAAGCAGTCTCCATGTTTCCAGTGTCTGTTTTCCCCACTTGGAGCAGAACCTAGAAGGATGTTTCTTCCAACACTCCTTTGGCCAGCAGGCCCTTTTCCATCAGCTGATTGGTGGTGATGGTGGCACAGCGGAAGGGCGGAGGACTGTGAACCGCCGTTTCATAGCTTCTGTGGTTCCTAACGGCTGCACCTGCGCCATGGTAGCCAGGGAGACCCAGGAGGAGGAATAAACACAGCCGGATGAGGGCTATGGGGGTGGACTGGGCCATGGGCATGCCTATGTTAATTCAGAGCTATTTACAATGCTGGCAGTAGCTCCCAGCACTGACTTTTGTATCTGTTAAACTCAGTTCTGCCGGACTGCGGCCGCATTAAAACCTGCAGCAAGTAACCTTGTTTCCGAGTTTGATTTGCCAGCAAAGGGACGCCTCTGATATATTTCCCTGGATGAGAAATGGAGAAACATGTTTTTTTAGGCAGGAAACAGACTCACTCTTAATAGCCCCCACCCTCCTCAACAGCCCACAGCAAATGTTTGCACTTATGAGATAGCTAGGTCTATTCATAACCATATTTATATTTTGGAGTATTCCAATAAAATTGGATAAAAATGTTAATATTGAAATGTGATTGAAGAGTGCCGCCTGCTACCAAAGGAAGGTACAACATATTCCCAAAATCCTGGAAAGACTTGGCTCTAGGAAATCTAAATGTGAGAATAAGAAGAACTTTATTATTAAAATGACCCCTGAAAGCTTCAATATAAGACTGAACTGGCAGAGGGATTTATGAGGTTTCCACTTTTGGACTACAGGCTGATTAATTTTGGGGTATAAAGACTCTTGGACATTGGACATTGAATTTTTTGAGAAGTGGCTTTAGGTTTGAATATAAGGTTGTTGGATTATTGGACAAAAAGAAACAAAATAAACAAAACAAGAACTCAGAGTATTAAAGACACCTTGACAAGAAGATGCGAGGAGATTATGAACAAAATGCAGAGCATAGATGAAGAGTTGGAAATTATGACACAAAGGACAAGGAGAAACCATGATGCCCAGGAAGAGGAGGAGCTAACTGAAAGAGCAGCTGAAAAAATAGAACAGACAAAACAACAAACAAAAAGAAATGACAAGAAGGAGATAAAAATAAAAATAATAATGATTGATGAAATAAACCAAGGGGAGAGTATTTTAAGGGAAGTTAAACTGGAACTGGAACTGCAGGAAGACTTTTTTGAGAGAGAGATAGGGGCAAGAGTAGACAACTTGAAAATTAGACAATGGAACAGGGTGGAGAAGGGAGAAATGTTTAAGAAGATTGGCCAAGAAGAGGAAGCAGATAGAGATAAAGATCCAAGAGAGGAATATGGGAGAAGCTAAGAAATGAATAATTAAAGCTTTAAAGCAGGCGAGAGATGATAGATAAAAAAGGGAACATTTCTTAAAAACAATAGTGATATAAGTTAAAATAGGGTTGGAAGTTAGAGAAAGGGGGACTAATGGAATATACATTTTTACATTACAAGGTGAAGTAATAACAAGAAAGGAACCTAGAATTTTAATGACAGTAATCTTTAATATGTTTAAATAATATGGTGATGGGTATAAAAATAACATTGAAATATTGAATAATCAAACAATGGAAGATTATAACTTAACATAAATATATGTATTATTAGTAGAACAATATAAGTTTGTTAAACGTAACAAATATGATTACCAACATTCTATTTGTAGTAAAAGGAATGATATTCAGAATTTGATCGGCAAAAAAACAACATACTAAAATATTGAACTATTTAATAAGGAAAGATTAGAATTTAACAAAAACATGTGTATTAGACTTATGTAACTTGTCAAACGTAAATATGATATTTTATTTGTAGTAAAATGTGACTAGAAGGAATATTTTTAAATATAACAGTGGCATAACTAAAAATTAGAGAGGGGATAAACAATGGAAGATTATAATTTAATATAAATGTGTGTATTACTATTAGAACTATATAAGTCTGTAAATACAACAAATATGATTATTAATATTTTATTTGTAGTAAACAGTGACATTTAATATATGGAAATTGGCATAAAAATAACATACTTAAATATCGAATAATCAAATAATGAAAGATTATATTGAACAAAATAGGTGTATTATTACTAAAACTATATAAGATTGTCAATTGTATTAAATATGAAGAATATTGTTTTATTCGTACCAAAATGTAAGACACTCCGGTGTCACACTGTTCACATAATAATATGTTTGTAAAAAAATAAAGAATAAAAAACTTGGGGGGGGGGAGAATTTGGGTGGTACAAAATGTAAATTTTAACCCCATCACTGGAGATGAAGGTCTTTTACTTGTGAATAGGCTGGCCCAGTCTTTCTTAATGAACATAAACTATCTGCTGGGGGCTATTAAGAAAGACTGCTTTCTTCCTTTAAAAGCATGTTTCTCCATTTCTCCTTTTGGGACATATAATATTCTGCCTCTATAAACGATTTCCTGTGGCTCCTTGTTGTGGCTCCCCCAGCTGCCAGGGGAGGCCTGTTCCAGATGCAGGTATGCACAGAGCACTTAGGAGAGGTGAAAAAAGGAGGACAAGGAGTCCACTCAGGAAGCAAATGCTGAATGGCTCCTCCCTGGGAATAAATAGAAGGAAAGGGGAGTGGTTGTTGTAGGAGACAACAGTCCTTTTCTGGTGATTTTGCTCATTGTGTTTCATGCAACAAAGACTGCTTGCCAGAACCTTTTGGCTGGGAGCTCAAGGCCTTGCAATTATCCTGAGGAACTGATAAGGTCTGCTGCTGCAGTAAACTCCTTGCAGGACTTTTGCCTGGACTTTCGGTGGGTGAATCCAATTAATTCACAAGAGGTAAATAAAGAAGGGTTTTTGCTGGTGAGGAGTCTATTTCTTGTTTCTGCTAACCCTGGGTCAGAACAGCTCCCAAGGATTTAGGACACGGCAGCACCATCAGGCCAGACACTCCAAGGGAGCCAGCTTCATTCCTGCTGGCCAGGGCTGCATCCAAGAGCACCCACAGCCCCAATTCATTCCTGAAGGAGGAAATTTTATATCTGCTAAGGGCCATGTGCTTCTGTAAATCTGCCTGCACTGAAGTCTCTGTTAGGTCACAGAGAACAATATACAGCAGGGCCTGGAAAATGGGGTCTAAAGAAGAGGGGTTGATTGTCTGTATATGGTAGAAGAAATGTTTCAAAAGAAATATATGTAAAAAAAACAAAAACAAAAAGGAAAAACAGAATATTTCACCAAAGCACAAGGCTGATTGAACACCAAGTTAACCTTTTTAGAGAGTGTGAGACGTACACCCCAAAATGACAGTGCCAGAAACCTCACAGGACCAGAAATATCAGAAAACAGTGCCAAGAGACACAAGCTAGCCCTTCCATTTTAAGAAAGCCTAAAACGAAAGTCCCAGCCAGAGCTGATTGAAAGTCTGGATGTGCTGCCAAAAGCCATTGACGCTCCTTACTAGAAATAACAAAGTAAACTAAAAGTCTGGGCTACAGCCGAAGGAATAACAGAAAAACTAGACTATGACGCAGGTCCTGAAAATACTCAAACCAACCAAAAATAACTCACCTGGGATTCCTCTTTCCCTCTTTCCTGGCAGAATCCCAGGATAAGAAAGACAAAGCCCCAGGAACAGAATTAACCCATTAAGGCAGGAAGACAGAACTCGGAGCAAAATCTCATCAAACCACACAAACGTCAAAGGGAAAATGGATATAAAAATCCATAAACTTATCATGCCACTCTGCTTGCAAGCCAGGAACGCTTGGTCTGTGTCACTTTTTTATTCTTGACTTCCTACATTAAAAGAATTCCACTTTCTGGCAGCTGGCTTCTGCATCCATTTCTTCTCAGCTTCGGTAGTGTGTCCCAGCTGGGAATGAACTGGGGAAATTTCTTTTAACAAGAGGCATTCTGCACTGCCATTTTAATGCAGATTTAATAAAGTAAGAATGGTGATAATGGCCATTTCATCTATTGGCTGTGTTTCCATTGCCTTGCTTTGCTTTAACATTCATAGCAACACTGATGCTATTTGATTTTTTCCTGGCCAAAAGCTATTGATAATTCTTATATTACACAATGTATTATTAAAAATGAAAGATTTTCTGATCCCCAGAGCTTGTGGGGACTCTATGGGGAAGGAAAGGTGTACTGTCTGGGGACCTTGGGGAGGAGGGAAATGCCTATAAGGACTCTATGGGAGAGGGCAAAGCTTGGAGGGATCCTGTGGAGAGGGAAATGCTTGATAACCAAAAAAACCCTTTCTCTCCTGTATGTTTCCTCTGGTGCCTCACCAGGTTAAAATGGTGAGTGAAACTTTTCCCACTATCAGGACATTCAAAGGGTTTCTCTCCTGTGTGAGTCCTCTGATGTTTCACCAGGTCAGAACAGTAAGTGAAACTTTTCCCACACACTGGACACTCGTATGGCTTCACTAGATCAGAATTATGACTGAAACTTTTTCCACAATCTGGACATTCATATTGTTTCTCTTGTGTGAGTCCTCTGGTGTCTCACAAGTTTGGAATTCTCACTGAAATGTTTCTCACAATTAGGACATTCAAAAGGTTTCTCCCCTGTGTGAGTCCTCTGGTGTACCACCAAGTTCGACCTTTGACTGAAACTTTTCCCACAATCAGGACATTCAAAGGGTTTCTCTCCTGTGTGAGTCCTTTGATGTTTAACCAAACTGGAATTCCAACTGAAACATTTGCCACAATCAGAACATTCAAATGGTTTCTCTCCTGTGTGTGTCCTCTGGTGTTCCACCAGGATGGAATTCTGACTGAAACCTTTCCCACAATCAGGACATTCAAAGGGTTTCTCTCCTGTGTGAGTCCTCTGGTGTATCACCAGGCTGCAGTACCAACTGAAACTTTTCCCACAATCAGGACATTCAAAGGGCTTTTCTCCTGTGTGAGTCCTCTGATGGTTCATCAGCTCAGAATTCTGACTGAATTTTTTCCCACAATCAGGACATTCAAAGGGTTTCTCTTCTGTGTGAGTCCTTTGATGTTTAACCAATTGGGAATTCAAACTGAAACGTTTGCCACAATCAGAACATTCAAAGGGTTTCTCTCTTGTGTGGGTCCTCTGATGGTTCACCAGCTGGGAATTCTGACTGAAACTTTTCCCACAATCAGGACATTCAAAGGGTTTCTCTCCTGTGTGAGTCCTCTGGTGTTTAACCAAATTGGAATTCCAACTGAAACGTTTGCCACAATCAGAACATTCAAAGGGTTTCTCTCCTGTGTGTGTCCTCTGGTGTTCCAACAGGTGGGAATTCTGATTGAAACATTTCCCACAAACAGGACATTCAAAGGGTTTCTCTTCTGTGTGAGTCCTCTGGTGTATCATCAGGCTGGAGTTCCAACTGAAACTTTTCCCACAATCAGGACATTCAAAGGGTTTTTCACCTGTGTGAGCCCTCTGGTGTTTAAACAGGCTGGAATTCCGACTGAAACGTTTCCCACAATCAGAACATTCAAAGGGTTTCTCTCCTGTGTGAGTCCTCTGGTGTTTAACCAAATTGGAATTCCAACTGAAACGTTTGCTACAATCAGAACATTCAAAGGGTTTCTCTCCTGTGTGAGTCCTCTGGTGTTCCAACAGATGGGAATTCTGATTGAAACATTTCGCACAAACAGGACATTGAAAGGGTTTCTCTTCTGTGTGAGTCCTCTGGTGTATCACCAGGCTGGAGTTCCAACTGAAACTTTTCCCACAATCAGGACATTGAAAGGGTTTCTCTCCTGTGTGAGTCCTCTGGTGTTTAACCAAATAGGAATTCAGACTGAAACGTTTGCCACAATCAGGACATTCAAAGGGTTTCTCTCCTGTGTGAGTCCTCTGGTGTTTAACCAAATTGGAATTCAAACTGAAACTTTTCCCACAATCAGGACATTCAAAGGGTTTCTCCCCTGTGTGTGTCCTCTGATGAATCACCAGGCTTGAATTCTGACTGAAACCTTTCCCACAATCTGGACATTCAAAGGGTTTCTCCCCTGTGTGAGTCCTGTAGTGCTTAACCAAATGGGAATTCAAACTGAAACGTTTGCCACAATCAGTACATTCAAAGGGTTTCTCCCCTGAGTGAGTCCTCTGGTGTTTAAGTAAATTGGAATTCCGACTGAAACGTTGGCCACAATCAGGACATTGAAAGGGTTTCTCTGCTGTGTGAGTCCTCTGGTGTTTAAGCAAATTGGAATTCCGACTGAAACGTTTGCCACAATCAGGGCATTCAAAAGGTTTCTCTCCTGTGTGAGTCCTCTGGTGTATCACAAGGTGGGAATTTGCAATGAAACCTTTCCCACAATCAGGACAGTTATATGATTTCTTTCCTGTATGCATCCTCTGGTGTACACCAGCTTGGAATTCTGACTGAAAGTTTTCCCACAATCAGCACATTCAAAGTGTTTTCCCCTCCTGTGAGTCCTCTGATGTATCACCAAGTTGCCATGCTTGCAAAAGCGTTTACTGCATTGGGAGCAGCTATAGGGCTTCTCTCCTGTGTGGGTCCTTTCATGAACCACAAGGGAACTGGTCTAACTAAATCTTTTTCCACATTTGGATAATTTCTATGGCTTTCCTCCAGTATGGATCCTGTTATGCATAATATATGATTTGCTTATTTGTGCTTTTCCCACAATAGGCACATCTATGGAGTTTTTCCTCCACTGATGTTCTTGAAGAGGTCAAAAATATGTGTGATCTTTTGTTGCATAGAGCTTTGATTCAAACTATTGTTTTCTTCCTCACAGGGCAATGCCTGCATTACTGTCTACTGTAGACTTGGGCTATCCAATTGTCTTTTTCCTCCTCACTCACCTCTAGATATTTCCCTCTATTTCTGAATGGAAAAAATAATCTCCTTTGACCTTTTCATGTAATCTATTGTTGAGTTTTGCATACTCTACTTTTTCCAGTTTGAAATCATCTTGATTTTCTCCCCCTTGTCTCTCAGCAGCTGGGGAAAGAGAAGAATTGTGTGCTTTTCTGAAGGCTCAATTTGCTTTCATTTTCAAAGCTGCTGGTTGTTCTCAGTTATCTGGAGTGCTCTTATTGGTATCCTCTTCACCTGTAAGATTTAAATAAAAGTGTAAGTTTAAAATTGTTTCTTTATAAAACGGTTGCAGAAGATGTGAAAATACATTACAAGTAAAAAGCAAACATGCCACAATGCTGAAATAGCTTCTAATGTTAATTATGATTCATTTGACCCATTGAAGATTACTGAGATCCAAGATCAAATATACATTCAATCATGAAATACACTTGTTGACTTGGGTCAATCACAAATTCTTCATACTGCAATTATTGGGTAGAATCTCTGTAATTCAGATAAATGTTCTACCAAACATGCTATTTCTCTTTCACACTTTAAAGGTTATAACTGGAAGTATGGCAGATGGACATCTATAAGTTTATATGGCAAGGAGAAAAAACCAAAAATTAAACAAATTATTGCAAGGTGCTAAGGAAAGAGGTTTGAGTTGACCAGATTTGAAATTGTACTTCCATGCCTGTTGTTTTCTGGCAAAAAGAGTGAGTGACTCTCCAAAATAAGAGGTTCCTCTATCTTTTTTTGTATTAAGTTTTTTTCCCCCAATAGGAACATACATATTTTGTGGACAGTACATTGATTGGGCCAGGTCTTTTTTATACGTTAACAATAATAATACAAATAATATATGGAATTCTAATCTTCCAACTTCAAACAATACTAGTCTCATTTCATATTCCTTTTACATTTCCTCTTTAATTCATTTAAGCATAAATAACATTTCTTCGCATCCTGTGTTTATTATCCCTTAGTAAATGTTGTCATTCAATATTATTGAATATTGCACGAGCTGCACTGGCTCCCAGTGGTCTTCCAGGTGCGATTCAAGGTGTTGGTCATCACCTTTAAAGTGCTCCATGGCACAGGACCTGGGTACCTTCGAGACCGACTTCTGCCACCAATAGCCTCCCACCGGGCAGTTCGCTCCCACAGAGAGGGTCTCCTCAGGGTGCCATCAGCCAAGTTATGTCGGCTGGCGACACCCAGGGGGAGGGCCTTCTCTGTGGGAGCCCCAGCCCTGTGGAATGAACTGTCCCCGGAAATACGCAAGATCTCCGACCTCCGGGTGTTTCGCTGCGCACTGAAGACCCTGTTGTTCCGCCAGGCCGGGCTATCAATATAATAATTTTAAATTGGGGTATTTTAAATTTTGGGGGGGTTTTAAACCGGCCAAATCTATTTAATTATTTTAATTTTTAATCATTGTTGTGTCTTGTGCTTTTAAATTGGCTGTACACCGCCCTGAGTCCTTCGGGAGAAGGGCGGTATAGAAATATTATTATTATTATTATTATTATTATTATTATTATTATTATTATTATTGTTGTTGTTGTTGTTGTTGTTGTTGTTGTTGTTGTTATTGAATATTATATTATTCTACCATAACATCAATATTCCAAATGTATAGGATTACTAATAACACCAATTATTAACAGTATTCAATCCATCACAGGAGTATATCTCAAAGTCCCCACCATTTCTAATCCTTAATATTTTAAATTCACAATATCTTTTAGTACACTGTTCATATTAGTACTTCAGTTAAAATGTCTAATCTTAAATTACCATCTACTAATTTAAACATATTGGGGTTGTGCTGTTTTCTCATTTTATTAATATATTTTCTCATTATCCATCATCTCTTACTTTCTGAAATTCCATCGTTTATTGATTTTTTGGTCAGTCTTTTATCTCTCCCTCTTGGAATCTTGTATCTCTTTTTAATTTTTTTGTGTCTACTAAACTTTCCTTTCTGTGTGCCTTTTGCCTCTTTCTGCTGCATTTTTTGAACACCCATTCACAAAACTTCCTTTTGTTTTTTAAAGGGGTTTTTCTCACTTTTCTCTATACCATTATAAATTGTGATGTTATGTATTTGTCTTCTATTTATTAGTCTCTTCTTCTCTTTGTTCCTAACTTCTTGTTTCTCATTTTTATTCTCCCCTTCCCCTGCTTTTTCTAGTTTCTCATCTATTTTTTGAATATCGTGTTCCTCTTTTCCCACCAATTGTTGAATAGCTTCTACATTTTCTGTATCTTTAAACAATCCCTTTGTCTCTTTGTTATTTCTTAAGGATTCACACAGACTTTTTAACATGCACAATATTTCTTCATACATTTCTAGATTCATTTTATAGTGATTTAATACAGCTTATAAAAAGTATTCTATTATTCCAATACCTCAATATTGAAGAAGCTTCTATTTAATCGTTACATCAATCCCATAGTTATACCTCCAAACCCCTACATTTTATTTCATAATACCGTGTTTCCCTGAAAATAAGACCCTGTCTTATATTTTTTTGAACCCTGAAATAAGCGCTTGGCCTTATTGCCATGCGCTCAAAAGCCCGATTGGGCTTATTATCAGGGGATGTCTTATTTTGGGGGAAATGGTGTAATTTACAATCATATAGTTCCCCAATTATGTATCTCCCAATTGTCCAAATGTTAAAGTCTTATTTCCTTTTTCTCTCTTTTCTTCTGGCCTTTTCTTCTTTTGCCTCTTAGAATATTCTGTTAAATAACATTAATAGTCCAAGTCCAAATTAATTCAAGTTAATCCACCAAATTCTTCCAGTCTTTTCAATCCATAATCCAATTGTCAATTTTAATAAAATTTAGTTATTTGCAAATTAGTTCCTTTTGTAACTCTTCAAAAGGAAAGGAAAAAAACACTATTGAATGTTCTCAAATTTTCCCAGTCTTCTTCTAACAACAGAGTCAAGGTCAGGCCATTCACCAGATGTTGTTACTTCTGTTCTGTGCATTAGACTTTGTGTGTATTAGATTAGCTTTCATTGAATATACTGGGGCTATAGTGTTGTAGTACTTCTCTTTCTCCAGTAGATGGGTCTCATGCCCAGATCCAAGGTAAGAAATCTGTCAAAAACAGTTGATTGTCAGATAAATCCAAGGGGTTTAGAAATTCAAATAAAAAATTTCTCCCTAAAGTCGCTTTCAAATTATTTGGGCTTTTTTCAAAGCTGTCTGTATTCTTAAAGCTTCCCTTGGGCCTTTTTCGCTTTTTTGTTTCCGGGTTTTTTTCCCTCCGTTTGTCAATTTGCCGCTATTTTAAATTTAGGAGTTTTTTCATATTCTTTTTTTTTATTGCAAGCCATTAAAGTAAAAGTTGGTAAATATCTCATCAATTTCAAGCTCTATACCAAATGGTTTTATGATATGGGTATCTAACATTGAAGAAATTCTCAAGAATGTATAAAGGCACCTTGAATGTTGGAAATGTAAACAAGAGATTTTATCATTTATGTTGGACATGTGATAAAGAAATATTGGAGTAGGATTCACATCTTAGTACAGAAGATTCTTAAAGAGAATATAAAGATAAAACCAGAAAGTTTTCTTTTAGTGGATAAAGAACTTGAAAAAAATGAAACTTTTCTCTCTTCCTTTTTTCTTCCCATTTTTCCATTAGTTTTATTTCTTCTTTGCACTTCTGGGGATGGATTATACAATTGTAGGTAGATGTATACAGAGAGAAGTACAAAACACACATCTACAAGTATGTATATATGTGGAAAATCCATGTTTTCTGCCTGAAAGCTGTCCCTAAACCCAAAATGGAGTCAAACCTTCTGTGCTAATTTTACAGATATGGGGGTTTAATTGATAAAATGATGCCTAAAGACTGCAATATTTGAAGCACCAGTTTTGGCATGGAAGTCCTCAGTTCCAAGTAAGGGCAGAAAATACTGTCCACAACCACTCTGATGACATTCATATTGAAGTAGTCCTCACTTACTGACTGCATTTGGGATTGGCATCTGTGTCACTAAGCAGCCTGATCAGGAAGCATGATATCACATGACAGTGCCAATTTACATCTGTTACTCTGCAGTTGTTAAGCGAATCACTGTGGGTTTTTAAAGGCAAGTTCACCTGACTGTGGCTTGCAAGTTCCTGATGGCATCCCCACCGATTTTGCTTGACAAGAATCTAGCTGGGAAGGTCACAAATGGGGATCCCGAGTGTGGGATGCTGAAATCATCATAAATGTGCACCAGTTGGCAGAACCCAAATTGTTGCAACTCCTTTTCTTGCACCTTCATAACCACAGAAACTGCTAACTTGTTCAGGTCACTGAACAAGTGCTAGAATGAGCACTAATGTGTGGACCAGATGTATATCTGCCTTTACTGTGCCATTGTAACTTTGAAGGCTCAGGGAACAAATGGTAAGTGAGGACTACCTATACAACTGAACATCCCAAAGGTTCTCAAAGCTATTTTTAAAAAAGTGCTGACTTAAACACAGTTGAACGTGATTAATACATGGATGGGGTACCAATAGGAAATACCGTGCTTGTTGGCTATACTTGGAAATAAAAAAGCAAAAATCCCAGAAGAGATTTCTGGGGATTTCCGATATTATTGCCAAAAAAAACCAGCAGGTCCATAACAGAACAACAGAGTTGGAAGGGATCTTGGAGATCTTCTAGATCTAGACCAATCCCCTGCTCAGTCAGGGGGAGAGCCCATACCATTTTTGATAAAGGCTGTCCAATTTCTTCTAAAAGGTTCCTGAGGAACCTGACAACTCTGTTGTGCAAAAAATAGAAAAGATAATTAGAGGGTCAGCTATACTGGACTTAATACTTACAAACAGGAAGGTTCATTTGAAGAGAAGAAATGAAAGAGGAAGAAACATGACTGGGGGTTTGAGGAAAAAACATGTGAAGAACAGTTGTAGGAATTGGGTAGGTCTAGTTTGGCAAAAAGAAGGATTAGAGGTGACATGTTCCAATACTTGAGGTTCTGCCACAAAGAAGAGAAGATTAACTTCTTCTCCAAAGCACCAGAAGGCAAGGCAAGAAGTAATGGATGGAAAGCAACGAAGGAGAGAAGCATCCTAGAAACCAGAAGAAATTTCCTGACAGCGACCAGTGGAAGGAAGGGCTTCCCTGCCCAAGTTGTGGGTGCTTCTCACTGGAGGCTCTGAAGAAGATACTGGACGGCCATTTGTCTGAAATGGTCCAAGTTCTCTTGCTTGAGCAGAGGGTTGGACTACATGACCGCCAAGGTCCCATCCAACTCCGTTTTTCTATATTCTATTCTATGTTCCGGTTGCTTCTCTGCTTCCACGCAGCGGAGGAAATCAAGCAGCCCTTCCTGCTCCCAGCCTCTCCTCCGACCTGCCCTCCACTCACCCACCAGCTGCTGCTTCGGCTCTTGGAAGAGCAGAGAAGCCACTCGGCGCACCACCTTCCTCCCGTGAGCGATCCGGTAGATCCAGCCCTTCCCTCCCCTCCCTTCTCGCAATGCAGTGCTTGATGGTTTTAACTCCTTAAGGCTCAGCCCCAGATGCCTCTGTAGCGACGGCTTCCTAGGCGCCGCTGATGTTGCCCATCTGACCGCCATCTCCCGATAGGAGGCCGTAAAACAGGCTCGTCCCGTCTCTACCTGTGAAGGCGTTTGCAAGACGTTTTCACCGATTCCACGCCCTCAAGTCAGTTTCCACTCCTGGCAGCCGATGCGAGTGAAATAGTGGAACGTGACCCTTCTTAACTTGGGAAGATTAGCTACAGGCTGAGCCTTAAACGTTCATTAAGTTATTAAAGAATTACAGAGTAAGAGTTGGAAGGGACCAATTCTCCATGCAGGGACCCTATATTGTTCCGGACAAATGGCTCTCCAGTCGCCTCTTAAAAAACACGGGTGATGGAGCACCCACAACTTCTGGAGCCAAACCATTCCACTGATCAATTGTTCCGACTGACAGGAAGTTTCTCCTTGATTCTAGGTTGGATCCCTTTCTGATATGTCTCCCTCTGAAGAATAGGCTGCCCCCTCCCCCTTTCTGTGTCAGCCCACCTCAATTGTGGTTGTATGTCGAGGATTACCTGCAGCATCTTTTTATCTTCATTCTTGCAGAGCCTAAAGAATTGCTCTGAGCAACCTCCTCAATTTCCAGAGGAGGTAGATTTCCACCTCGATTATTCCGAGGCAGGCACCTTGGGCAAAACCCTTGGAGGGTGTTACATTGTAAAAAACTGATCTAGAGATTCCTGATCTTTTTTTGGCGTGACTCTCAGTGGAGATCAAAACTGCTCTACATCCTGTTAGAAGAAAAATGCAGGTCCACTTCCAAGCTGGGAATAAATGGAGGCTGTTTAAGAAAGTTGGTCCTTTTATTGATGAGCAGAACCAGCCTGTGGTTCCAGGGCAGCTGACCCGCCTGGTTGAATGAGTGGATGGATCTTTATTGGTTTCTGTGATGCTGCTGGAGTTGTGCAATGTAGTGAGCTCTGTTTTGCTCTTCTAATGGTGATGGATTAATCCTATTATGTCCTAAAAGGTTCTTAGATGCAACTGGGCTTTCTTTTTTGTTTTCTTTTGAAGATGTTTCCCTTCTCATCCAAGAAGCTTCTCCAGCTCTGACAGGATAGCGGGGAATGGAATCTTTTCAGAGCTAAAGAAGCTTCTTGGATGAGAAGGGAAACATCTTCAAAAGAAAAAACAAACAAGAACGTCCAATTGCCTCCTGAAAAAGCACCTTTGGGACAACCATGACCTGGATGACTGAGAATCTCTACAAACTCCTGTTCTTAGAATTTGGGTGGTGGAGAATGTAAATGTTAGTGCCATCCCTGGAGAAGAAAGTCTGTTACTTGTGAATTGACCTCAACTTTCATAATGTCTGTTGGATCCAGTTCAGAACTGGAAGAATCATCAGGAAAGTCAGACAGACCCTCTGTAATTGTATGATTTTCAAAAGCTACAAACCCACTGGCACAACCAATTCTTACATTACACAATGCATTATTAAAAATGAAAGATTTTCCAACCTTCCATTTTTTTCTCGCATAGCCACCACCAAGTGGATATAATAGATATGTCAGAGTTGTCAGCTTTGGAAGCCATATTAGGCTGGAAGCTTCCACGCTGCCACCTTCTCATGTGTGGGAAAGTAGGAGGGGGAATATGGTAGAGGGGTTATCGGTAGACATAATAGCATTCTTCCTGTTGGTCAAGGTCAGGTCTATCCTGCACCTGGAGAAGGAGTGGTTGGAGTGATGTCTCGAGATGGGACGGATGGTGATTGGAGCATGTGATCGGCTGAGGAGTGAGGGGATGGTTTTGGGGGTTTTGATTTACTGAAGGAAAACCCGGACCTCTCAGGTTCGGGTTTTCCCAGATGTGCCAGTTTACCTATTCTAGTAAATAGAACTTGAAAAATGCTTGCTTCAGAGCTTTTAGTTGGAGTTGGGGTTTTTCTGGAATGTTGACAAGAGTGCTGCTATCACCCAGCAGCCATCAAAGGGAAACAAGCAGGCACCTCCAAGAAAATGAGATCACAGCAAGAGTTGCTAATAAAACGTTTAGATCCTGTTATCAAAGCCACTATCACTTTTCTCCTCAACTCAATATTCCTACAGCTCTTCTCCATCAGGTTCATCTGCAAGGCAGAATAGCCTTTTCATTTGAAATTTTACATTGATATTTTCATTGGGCTTTGGGCCTATTCCCTACACGCCCCTCACCCATCAAACACTTACCTTTTGGAGACCTCCTGGAGGCAGCCCTCATTTTCAGTGCACCCACAATCCCATAATGCAGTTTGCACAGTGTTAAGGAAGCGAAACAGAGCAGTTTCTCCCTCTCCCATGCAACAATGACTCAGAAGCAGCTGCCATTTTGGCCCTGAGGGAGGTGTGACAAAATGGCAGCTGCTTCCACAAATCCATCACATGGCCCAGGGTTGAATCCCGGGCACACTGAAAATAACGGCTGCTTCCAGGACATAGCCATCCGGCACTGGGATGCGTGTCCTGGCCTTCCTCACCAACTTGAGGTTCAGAGATCTTCAAAGGAGAGGAGGCGGCTGTGAGGCCTGGTGGGGTGGGAGTCAGGCCTAAGGACTGTGGAGATGCAGTGAGAGAGGAAAAAAGCCTTTGGGGAACCTGTGGGGGAGGGAGAGGCCTGTGAGGACTCTATGGGGAAGGAAACACCTATGGGGACCTTGGGGAGGAGGGAAATGCCTATAGAGACTCTATGGGAGAGGGAAAAGCTTGGAGGGATCCTGTGAAGAGGGAAATGCTTGATAAAAAAAAAAACCCAGATAGTACACCTTTTTCAAATTAATATTTTCCATTTTTTCTCTCCAATCACAGGTCTACCCTTGAGATATCTTCCAGTAAAATGAATCAGACCAGAACTTAAATAGTCAATTTCTCACCTACACTTCCAATGACAGATCAAAAATGAAATTTAAGCCTTCTCTAAACTCATCAACTTTTGCCTAATGTGGATTTCCTTGACTTTCTCTTCTCTGTGTAAACCTACATTACTTATAGGTCACTTGTATGGTTTGTCTCCTATATGTGTCCTCTGGTGTCTCACGAGGTTAAAATGGTGATTGAAACATTTTGCACAATCAGGACATTCAAAGGGTTTCTCTCAGTGGTGAAATCCAAATTTTTTTACTACGGGTTCTGTGGGCGAAACGTGGTTTGTTGGGGTGTGGCAGGGGAAGGATACTGCAAAATCTCCATTCCCACCCCACTCAAGGGGAAGGATACTGCAAAATCCCCATTCCCTCCCCACTCCTAGGGGATGTTGCAAAATCTCCATTCCCACCCCTCTCTGGGGCCAGGCAGTGATGGTATTTGCCAGTTCTCTGAACCACTCAAAATTTCTGCTACCGGTTCTCCAGAACCTGTCAGAACCTGCTGGATTTCACCCCTGGTTTCTCTCCTGTGTGGATCCTTTGGTGGTTCACCAGGTTAAAATTCTGACTGAAACTTTCCCCACACTGTGGACATTCATATGGTTTCTGTCCTGTGTGAGTCCTCTGGTGTTTCACCAGGTCAGAACAGAAAGTGAAACTTTTTCCACACTCTGGACATTTGTATGCTTTAATGGGTTGTCTGCTAAAATAAAGCCAGGTCATGGCACACACTTGAAAGTAAATCAAGAAGCCTGTAATTGTGGAGTCTGTCTGGCAAGAACAAAGAATGCTTATCTACAGGAAATATGCATGTGTAAATCTTGTAACAATTCTGGGTAGTTAGAAAGCTGATAAAAGTAACAAGAGTTAGACAACATGCAGACCTCAGCTAAAAGTTAGGAATAGAGATGGCCTGCAGCAAATAAAATGTGTATTAGATAACTCCTGGGGCATTCATTAGCCAAAGCTTAGGAATAGGGACAGCTAGAGACCAATAGAACAAATTGTAGAATTATTACTAAAATGTTTATTAGATGATATTTTGTATTATAAATCTTGTCCCGCCTTCTTCTTTACTGAAAATGTATGAAGCTTTCTTAAACCTTTGTTCTTGGCTCTCTTTGCCAAGAACAAGGTCCTTGGTGGTTCACAGGTTGAAATTCTGACTGAAACTTTTCCCACATTGTGGGCTTCACATCATATGGCTTCACTCCTGTATAAATCCTCTGGTGTATCAATAGATCAGAATTATGACTGAAACCTTTTCCACAATCGAGACATTCATATCGTTTCTCTTGTGCGAGTCCTCTGGTGTTTCACCAGTTTGGAATTCTCACTGAAATTTCTCCCACAATCAGGACATTCAAATGGTTTACTCTCCTGTGTGAGTCCTTTGGTGTGTAGCCAGATTGGAATTCTCACTGAAACCTCTGCCACAATTAAGACATTTGTTACAGTGGTTATGTCTTCTGTGTTGGCAGGATTAGTTTGAGATGCATTTCATGCATCTCCAGCAGTTGCCTTCAGCTGCTCCTGTGAGGTATTTTCGGTTTCTGTCATATGTAGATATATACTTGTAATGATGGCTTATCAGGGCTTTTCAATCCCACTTCTGACACCATGTTTCAAGAAGTTTCTATCCTGTGTGAGTCCTCTGGTGTTTAACCAAATGAGAATTCAAACTAAAACATTTGCCACAATCAGAACATTCAAAGGGTTTCTCTCCTGTGTGAGTCCTCTGGTGTACCATCAAGCTGGACCTTTGACTGAAACTTTTCCCACAATCAAGACATTCAAAGGGTTTCTCTCCTGTGTGAGTCCTCTGGTGTTTAACCAAATGGGAATTCCAACTAAAACATTTGCCACAATCAGAACATTCAAAGGGTTTCTCTCCTGTGTGAGTCCTCTGGTGTACCACCAAGCTGGACCTTTGACTGAAACTTTTCCCACAATCAAGACATTCAAAGGGTTTCTCTCCTGTGTGACTCCTTTCATGTTTCACCAGGTTGGAATTCTGACTGAAACTTTTCCCACAATCAGGACATTCAAAAGGTTTCTCTCCTGTATGAGTCCTCTGATGAATCACCAGGCTTGAATTCTGACTGAAACATTTCCCACAAACAGGACATTCAAAGGGTTTCTCTCCTGTGTGAGTCCTCTGGTGTTTAACCAAATTGGAATTCCAACTGAAACGTTTTCCACAATCAGAACATTCAAAGGGTTTCTCTCCTGAGTGAGTCCTCTGATGAATCACCAGGCTTGAATTCTGACTGAAACATTTGCCACAATCAGGACATTCAAATGGTTTACTCTCCTGTGTGAGTCCTTTGGTGTGTAGCCAGATTGGAATTCTCACTGAAACCTCTGCCACAATTAAGACATTTGTTACAGTGGTTATGTCTTCTGTGTTGGCAGGATTAGTTTGAGATGCATTTCATGCATCTCCAGCAGTTGCCTTCAGCTGCTCCTGTGAGGTATTTTCGGTTTCTGTCATATGTAGATATATACTTGTAATGATGGCTTATCAGGGCTTTTCAATCCCACTTCTGACACCATGTTTCAAGAAGTTTCTATCCTGTGTGAGTCCTCTGGTGTTTAACCAAATGAGAATTCAAACTAAAACATTTGCCACAATCAGAACATTCAAAGGGTTTCTCTCCTGTGTGAGTCCTCTGGTGTACCATCAAGCTGGACCTTTGACTGAAACTTTTCCCACAATCAAGACATTCAAAGGGTTTCTCTCCTGTGTGAGTCCTCTGGTGTTTAACCAAATGGGAATTCCAACTAAAACATTTGCCACAATCAGAACATTCAAAGGGTTTCTCTCCTGTGTGAGTCCTCTGGTGTACCACCAAGCTGGACCTTTGACTGAAACTTTTCCCACAATCAAGACATTCAAAGGGTTTCTCTCCTGTGTGACTCCTTTCATGTTTCACCAGGTTGGAATTCTGACTGAAACTTTTCCCACAATCAGGACATTCAAAAGGTTTCTCTCCTGTGTGAGTCCTCTGGTGTTTCACTAGCTCAGAATTCTGACTGAAACTTTTCCCACAATCGGGACATTCAAAGGGTTTCTCTCCTGTGTGAGTCCTCTGGTGTACCACCAAGCTGGACCTTTCACTGAAACTTTTCCCACAATCAGGACATTCAAAGGGTTTCTCTCCTGTGTGAGTCCTCAGGTGTTTAACCAAATGGGAATTCAAACTGAAACGTTTTCCACAATCAGAACATTCAAAGGGTTTCTCTCCTGTATGAGTCCTCTGATGAATCACCAGGCTTGAATTCTGACTGAAACATTTCCCACAAACAGGACATTCAAAGGGTTTCTCTCCTGTGTGAGTCCTCTGGTGTTTAACCAAATTGGAATTCCAACTGAAACGTTTTCCACAATCAGAACATTCAAAGGGTTTCTCTCCTGAGTGAGTCCTCTGATGAATCACCAGGCTTGAATTCTGACTGAAACATTTGCCACAATCAGGACATTCAAATGGTTTCTCTCCTGTGTGAGTCCTCTGGTGTTTAACCAAATGGGAATTCAAAGTGAAACATTTGCCACAATCAGAACATTCAAAGGGTTTTTCTCCTGTGTGAGTCCTCTGATGAATCACCAGGCTTGAATTCTGACTGAAACATTTCCCACAATCAGGACATTCAAATGGTTTCTCCCCTGTATGAATCCTCTGGTGTTTCACCAGCTCAGAATTCTGATTGAAACTTTTGCTACAAGCAGGACATTCAAATGGTTTCTCCCCTGTGTGAATCCTCTGGTGTACTACCAGGCTGCAGAACCAACTGAAACTTTTCCCACAATCAGGACATTCAAAGGGTTTCTCTCCTGTGTGAGTCGTCTGGTGTTTAACCAAATTTGAATTCAAACTGAAACTTTTCCCACAAACAGGACATTCAAAGGGTTTTTCTCCTGTGTGAGTCCTCTGATGGTTCACCAGGTCATAATTCTGACTGAAACTTTTCCCACAATCGGGACATTCAAAGGGTTTCTCTCCTGTGTGAGTCCTCTGGTGTACTACCAAATTGGAATTCCAATTGAAACGTTTGCCACAATCAGAACATTGAAAGGGTTTCTCTCCTTTGTGAGTCCTCTGGTGTACCACCAAGCTGGACCTTTGACTGAAACTTTTCCCACAATCAGGACATTCAAAGGATTTTTGCCCTGTGTGAGTCCTCTGGTGTACCACCAAGCTGGACCTTTGACTGAAACTTTTCCCACAATCAGAACATTCAAAGGGTTTCTCTCCTGTGTGAGTCCTCTGGTGTATTACCAGGTGGGAATTTGCAATGAAACCTTTCCCACAATCAGGACAGTTATATGATTTCTTTCCTGTGTGCATCCTCTAGTGCACCACCAGGTTGGAATTCTGACTGAAAGTTTTCCCACAATCAGCACATTCAAAGGGGTTTGTCCTCCTGTGAGTGCTCTCATGTATCACCAAGTTGCCATGCTTGCAAAAGGGTTTATTGCATTGGGAGCAGCTATAGGGCTTCTCTCCTGTATGGGTCCTTTCATGAAACACAAGGGAACTGATCTAACTAAATCTTTTTCCACATTTGAATAATTTTTATGGCTTTCCTCCAGTGTGGATCCTGATATGGATAATCTGTGATTTGCTATGTGTGCTTTTCCCACAATAGACACATCTCTTGAGCTTTTCCAGCACGGATGTTCTTGAAGAGGTCAAAAATACATGTGGTCCTTTGTTGCTTGGAGCTTTGATTCAAGATACTGTTTTCTTCCTCATAGGGCAAGGCCTGCATTAATGTCTACCTTTTGTGGTTATCCAATTGTCTTTTTCCTCCTCACTCACTTCTAGATATTTCCCTTTTTTCTGAATGGAAAAAATAATCTCCTTTGACTTTTTCATGTAATCTATTGTTGAGTTTTGCATACTCTATTTTTTCCAGTTTGAAATCTCTTCTTGATTTTCTCCCCTTTGTCTCTCACCAGCTGGGGAAAGAGAAGAAATGTATGCTTTTCTGAAGGCTCAATTTGCTTTCATTTTCAAAGTTGTTGGTTATTCTCAGTTGTCTGGAGTGCTCTTATTGGTATCTTCTTCATCTGTAAGATTTAAATAAAAGTGTAAGTTTAAAATTGTTTCTTTATTGCAGATGATGTGAAAAAAGTATACATTACAAGTAAAAAGCAAACATGCCACAATTCTGAAATAGCTTCTAATGTTAATTATGATTCATTTGACACATTGAAGATTACTGAGATCCAAGTTCAAATATACATTCAATCATGAAATACACTTGTTGACTTGGGTCAATCACAAATTCTTCATACTGCAATTATTGGGTAATTGTAATTCAGATAAATGTTTTACCAAACATGCTATTTCTCTTTCACACTTTAAATGTTATAACTGAAACTATGGCAGATGGACATCTTTAAGTTTACATGGCAAGGGGAAAAAACCAAAAATTAAACATAAATTATTGCAAGGTGCTAAGGAAAGAGGTTTGAGTTGACCAGATTTGAAATTGACTTCCATGCCTGTTGTTTTCTAGCAAAAAGAGTGAGTGACTCCAAAATAAGAGATTCCTTGAGCTTGACAGGCATGAATAAAGATTTTGATGGCACAGCTCTTTATGGGATGATAAAGTTAAAGCAAATGTTGATTTTAATGATCACTTGTTAGACATGCCTTCCTTTTTGGGTGTCTCCCCAGGAAGTTTTTTTAGAAAAGAAATGGTAGTGAGGCCAGACTGATGGACCTATGGTCAACTAATATTGTTCTATTATCATGACCCTATCCTCAAATCTAAAGGAGTTGGAATCAGAAGGATGTTTGCCATTGATTTATATGTTTACAATTGAAAGATTTGAACTAGACAAAAACAGCTATGGATACCATTTTGTGAAAAATGAATTGGAAATTGGAAATGAATTGTTGAACGTATTACTGCTGAGGTTTATAAACTGCTATTGAAATTGAACTTGCAGAATGAGTATGTAAAGCATTGTATGATTCAGTGGGCAAAGAACTTTGGATGTAATATAATGCTTGAACAATGGAAGACTATAACAGAATTACAGAGTTGGAAGGGATCTTTGAGGTTGAAGATATTCTCAAGAATGTATAAGGGCACCTTGAATGTTGGAAATGTAAATAAGATATTTTATCATGTATGGTGGACATGTGACAAAGAAATATTGGAGTAGGATTCACATTTTAATACAGAAGGTTCTTAAAGAGAATATAAAGATAAAATCATAAAATGTTCTTTTAGTAAAGAAGTTGAAAAAAATGAAACTTTTCTCTCTTCCTCTTTTCTTCCCATTTTCCCATTATTTTTATTTCTTCTTTGCACTACTGTTTTTTACGTTTTGATGATGTGTAAAAATAAATTCTTAGCACTGCAAAGGGTTATTATGAAATATATCTAGGAGTGCTGCGGATGGATTATACAAGTGTAGATAGATGTATACAGAGAGAAGTACAAAAAACACACACCTACAAGTATGTATATATGTGGAAAATCCATGTTTTCAGCCTGAAAGCTGTCCCTAAACCCAAAATGGTTATAGTCAAACCTTCCGTGCTAATTTTAGAGATGTGGGGGCTTTAATTGATAAAATTATGCCTAAAGAAGAAATGAAAGAGCAACAAACATGACTGGGGGCTTGAGGGAAAAACATATGAAGAACAGTTGTAGGAATTGGGTAGATCTAGTCATGACCGCCAAGGTCCCATCCAACTCTGTTTTTCTATATTCTATTCTATGTTCCGGTTGCTTCTCTGCTTCCACGCAGCGGAGGAAATCAAGCAGCCCTTCCTGCTCCCAGCCTCTCCTCCGACCTGCCCTCCACTCACCCACCAGCTGCTGCTTCGGCTCTTGGAAGAGCAGAGAAGCCACTCGGCGCACCACCTTCCTCCCGTGAGCGATCCGGTAGATCCAGCCCTTCCCTCCCCTCCCTTCCCGCAATGCAGTACTTGATGGTTTTAACTCCTTAAGGCTCAGCCCCAGATGCCTCTGTAGCGACGGCTTCCTAGGCGCCGATGTTGCCCATCTGACCGCCATCTCCCGATAGGAGGCGGTAAAACAGGCTCGTCCCGTCTCTACCTGTGAAGGCGTTTGCAAGACGTTTTCTCCGATTCCACGCCATCAAGTCAGTTTCCACTCCTGGCAGCCGATGCGAGTGAAATAGTGGAACGTGACCCTACTTAACTTGGGAAGATTAGCTACAGGCTGAGCCTTAAACGCTCATAAAGTTATTAAAGAATTACAGAGTAAGAGTTGGAAGGGACCAATTCTCCATGCAGGGACCCTATACTGTTCCGGACAAATGGCTCTCCAGTCGCCTCTTAAAAAACACGGGTGATGGAGCACCCACAACTTCTGGAGCCAAACCATTCCACTGATCAATTGTTCCGACTGACAGGAAGTTTCTCCTTGATTCTAGGTTGGATCCCTTTCTGATATGTCTCCCTCTGAAGAATAGGCTGCCCCCTCCCCCCTTTCTGTGTCAGCCCACCTCAATTGTGGTTGTATGTCGAGGATTACCTGTAGCATCTTTTTATCTTCATTCTTGCAGAGCCTAAAGAATTGCTCTGAGCAACCTCCTCAATTTCCAGAGGAGGTAGATTTCCACCTCGATTATTCCGAGGCAGGCACCTTGGGCAAAACCCTTGCAGGGTGTTACATTGTAAAAAGCTGATCTAGAGATACCTGATCTTTTTTTAGCGTGACTCTCAGTGGAGGTTAAAACTGCTCTATATTCTGTTAGAAGAAAACTCCAGTTCCAGTTCCAAGCTTGAAATAAAATGGAGGCTGTTTAAGAAAGGAGATCCTTTTATTGATGAGCAGAACCAGCCCATGGTTCCAGGGCAGCTGACCGACTGGTTGAATGAGTAGATGGATCTTTATAGGTTTCTGTGATGCTGCTGGGGTTCTGCAATCTACTGAGGTCCCCTCCATTTTGCTATTTTAATGGTGGTGGGTTAATCCTGTTATGTCCTAAAAGATCATGTCCTGTTCTTAGATGTCCCAAAGATGCTTCTTCAGAAGGCAACTGGGCTTTCTTTTTTGTTTTCTTTTGAAGATGTTTCCCTTCTCATCCAAGAAGTTTCTTCTGCTCTGACAGGATAGCGGAGAATGGAATCCTGTCAAAGCTGAAGAAGCTTCTTGGATGAGAAGGGAAACATCTTCAAAAGAAAAAACAAACAAGAACGTCCAATTGCCTCCTGAAAAAGCACCTTTGGGACAACCATGACCTGGATGACACAGAATCTCTACAAACTCCTGTTCTTAGAATTTGGGTGGTGGAGAATGTAAATGTTAATGCCATCCCTGGAGATGAAGGTCTGTTACTTCTGAATAGGTTGGCCCAGTCTTCCTTAATAAACACAAAATCTGCTGGGGTCTATTAAGAAAGGATGCTTTCTTTCTTTAAAAGCATGTTTCTCCATTTGTCCTTTAGGGAAATATAATATTCTGCCACTTAATATTCCCAAAAATATTTCATTCTTTCAGGGGTGTGGTCTTTCCCACAATTCCAAAACTGATTTCCTATGGGGTCCAAGGATTTAGGACACAGCAGAACCATGAGGCCAGACACTCCAAGGGAGCCAGCTTCATTCCTGCTGGCCAGGGCTGCATCCACAGTGCCGATTCCTGCTGGCCAAGAGCACCCACAGTGCTGATTCATTCCTGAAGGAGGAAATTTTATATCTGAAAAAATGCCACGTGCTTCTGTAAATCTGCCTGCAGAGAAGTCTCCATTAGGTCACAGAGAAGTGACCTAAAAAAGAGGGGTTCATTGTCTGTATAAAGTAGAAGAAATTCTTCAAAAGAAATATTTGTAAAAAAAACAAAAAGGAAAAATAGAATATTCAACCAAAGTACAAGCCGATAGAACACCAAGTTAATGTTTTTAGAGAGGTATCCTGCACTGCCATTTCAATAGAATTCTTTATTGTCCAAGTGTGATTGGACATACAAGGAATTTGTCTTGGTGCATGCACTCTCAGTGTACATAAAAGAAAAGGTACATTCGTCAAGAATCATAAGGTACAACACTTAATGATAGTAATAGGGAAACAGGTAATATAAATCTTAAGGATACCAGCAACAAGGTTACAGTCATAAGTGAGAGGAGATGGGTGATAGGAATGATGAGATTAATAGTAATGCAGACTTAGTAACTAGTTTGACAGTGTTGAGGGAATTATTTGTTGAACAGAGTAATGGCGTTCAGGAAAAAACTGTTCTTGTGTTTAGTTGTTCTGGTGTGCAGTGCTCTATAATGTTGTTTTGAGGATAGGAGTTGAAACAATTTATGTCCAAGATGCGAGGGGTCTGTAAATATTTTCACAGCCCTCTTTTTGACTCGTGCAGTATACAAGTCCTCAGTGGAAGGCAGGTTGGTAGTAACTGTATATTCTGCAGTTCTAATTATCCTCTGAAGTCTGTGTCTGTCTTGTTGGGTTGCAGAACTAAACCAGTTATAGAGGTGCAGATAACAGACTCAATAATTCCTCTGTAGAACTGTATCAGCAGCTTCTTGGGCAGTTTGAGCTTCCCGAGTTGGCACAGAAACATTCTTTGTTGTGCTTTTTTGATGACGTTTTTGATGTTGGGTGTCCATTTTAGGTCGTGAGATATGTTACAACCTAAAAATTTGAAGGTCTCTACTGTTGATACTGTGTTGTCTAGTACTGTGGTGCATCTGTAATAATCTGTAATGCAGATTTAATGAAGTATGAATGGTGATAGTGGCCATTTCATCTATTGGCTCCGTTTCCATCCACGAGGACCACGACTTTCATGTCTGTTGGATCTGGTTCAGAATTGAGAGACTCATCAGGGAAGTGAGACAGACCCTCTGTAATTTTATGATTTTCAAAAGCTACAAACCCACTGGCACAACCAATGGCTGCTTTAGAGGTTGTAAAGTTAAAAGGGAAACCTTAAGTTGTCAGTTTGAAATGTTCTACTTTTGTTGTCTCAGACTGGTAATGCTAAAGACCATCCCTGAATCTGAGAAGAAGGCCAAACAAAACAGATCCAGTTTAGCCATTCTAATTTTTTAACTCTGCATAAAGAAATGTCATTCTTTCATAGAATTTAAAGCTGAGGTAAATAGCAATGCAATAAATTAAGAGGCAGAAGCCTAATTACAGCTCACATCAGAGGTACAGAGTGGCTGGACTGAGGAAGTAGTGAAACTGAAAATTTAAATTTATAATGTGGAGGGAAATGAAGCTGAAGAAGACAGATTGGTTATAGAGGTGCAGAATGCAAAAGAGACAGATTACAGGTAGATTAACAATTGTAGAGTGTTAAAACCCAATGAATGCATGGAGAACTCACCACTGAAAAATAATTGAGAAAAGGGCTTTGTGTTACCATTTTATTAGTTTTATTATTAAACTTCTTTACTGCACATCTGGCAGTTTGAGGCCATTCTGAGTGCCTCGCCTTGCCCTAACATTCCTAGCAACACTGACACTACCTGATTTTTTCCTTGCCAAAAGATATTGATAGTCCTTACATTACACAATGCATTATTAAAAATGAAAGATTTTCCATTGTTCAATTTTTTTCTCACATTGCCACCACCAAAGGGGATACAATAGAAATGTCAGAGTGCTGCTATCACCCAGCAGCCATCAAAGGGAAACAAGCAGGCACCTCCAAGAAAATGAGATCACAGCAGGAGTCGCTAATAAACATGGAGATCCTGTCATCAAAGCCACCATCCCTTTTCTCCTCAACTCAATATTCCTACAGCTCTTCTCCATCAGGTTCATCTGCAAGGCAGAACAGCCTTTTCATTTGAAATTTTACATTGGTTTTTTCATTGGGCTTTGGGCCTATTCCCTACACACCCCTCACCCATCAAACACTTACCTTTTGGAGACCTCCTGGAGGCAGCCATCATTTTCAGTGTACCCACAATCCCTTAATGCAGTTTGCACAGTGTTAAGGAAGCGAAACAGAGCAGTTTCTCCCTCTCCCACGCAACAATGACTCAGAAGCAGCCGCCATTTTGGCCCTGAGGGAAGTGTGACAAAATGACAGCTGCTTCCACAAGTCCATCACATGGCCCAGGGTTGAATCCCGGGCACACTGAAAATAACGGCTGCTTCCAGGACATAGCCATCCAGCCCTGGGATGCGTGTCCTGGCCTTCCTCACCTACTTGAGGTTCAGAGATCTTCATAGGGTATGGAGGAGGCTGTGAGGCCTGGTGGGGTGGGAGTCAGGCCTAAGGACTGTGGGGATGTAGCAGGAGAGGAAAAAAGCCTTTGGGGAACCTGTGGGTGAGGGAAAGGCTTGTGGAGACCCTGTGAAGGAAGGAAACCCCTGTGGGGACCTTGGGGAGCAGGGAAATGCCTATAGGGACCCTGTGGGAGAGGGAAAGGCTTGGAGGGATCCTTTGGAGAGGGAAAGGATAACAAAAGAAAAAAGGTTAATACACCTTTATCAAATTAATATTTAGCATTTTTTCTCTCCAAACACAGGTCTACTACTGAGATATCTTTCAGTAAAATGAATCAGGCCAGAACTTAAATAGTCAATTTCTCACCTACACTTCCAAAGACAAAACAAAAATGAAATTTAAGCCTTCTCTAAACTCATCAATTTTTGCCTAATGTGGATTTCCTTGACTTTCTGTCCTCTGTGTAAACCTACATTACTTATAGGTCATTTGTATGGTTTCTCTCCTGTATGTATCCTCTGGTGTCTCACGAGGTTAAAATGGTGACTTTTCACACAAACGAGACATTCAAAGAGTTTCTCTCCTGTGTGGATCCTTTGGTGTTTCACCAGGGCTGAACTAGTGGTGGGTTTCAAAAATTTTTACTACCGGTTCTTTGGGTGTGGCATGGCTTGGTCGGCGTGGCAAGGGAAGGCAGAGAATGGATGGGCGCAGGGCCACTCAGAGATGGTATTTACCGGTTCTCCAAACTACTCAAAATTTCCGCTACCGGTTCTCTAGAACTGGTCAGAACCTGTTGAAGCCCATCCCTGCTCAGAACAGTACGTGAAACTTTTCCCACCCTCTGGATACTCGTGTGGCTTCACTCCTGTATAAATCCTCTGGTGTATCCTTTTTCCACAAATTGGACATTCACATTTTTTCCCTCATGTGAGTCCTCTGGTGTTTCACCAGGCTGGAATTCTGACTGAAACGTTTCCCACAAGCAGGACATTCAAAGGGTTTCTCTCCTGTGTGAATCCTCTGATGCTTAACAAAATTGGAATTCTCACTGAAATTTTTCCCACAATCAGGACATTCAAAGGGTTTCTCCCCTGTGTGAGTCCTCTGGTGTATCACCAGGGTGGAATTCTGACTGAAACATTTCCCACAATCAGGACATTCAAAGGGTTTCTCCCCTGTGTGAGTCCTCTGGTGTTTCACCAGGCTAGAATTCTGACTGAAACGTTTCCCACAATCAGGACATTCAAAGGGTTTCTCTCCTGTGTGAGTCCTCTGGTGTATCACCAGGCTGCAGAACCAACGGAAGCTTTTCCCACAATCAGGACATTCAAAAGGTTTCTCCCCTGTGTGTGTCCTCTGGTGTTCCAACATGTGGGAACTCTGATTGAAACATTTCCCACAAACAGGACATTCAAAGGGTTTCTCGTCTGTGTGAGTCCTCTGATGTATTACCAGGCTGGAGTACCAAGTGAAACTTTTCCCACAACTGGGACATTCAAAAGGTTTCTCTCCTGTGTGAGTCCTCTGATGGTTTACCAGGTTAGAATTCTCACTGAAACTTTTACCACAATCAGGACATTCAAACGGTTTCTCTCCTGTATGAGTCCTCTGGTGTTTAACCAAATGGGAATTCCAACTGAAACGTTTGCCACAATCAGAACATTCAAAGGGTTTCTCTCCTGTGTGAGTCCTTTGGTGTATCACCAGCTGGGAATTTGCAATGAAACATTTCCCACCATCAGGACAATTATATGATTTCTTTCCTGTGTGCATCCTCTAGTGTACCACCCGGTTGGAATTCTGGCTGAAAGTTTTCCCACAATCAGAACATTCAAAGGGATTTCCCCTCCTGTGAGTCGTCTCATGTATCACCAATTTGCCATGCTTGCAAAAGCATTTACTGCATTGGGAGCAGCTATAGGGCTTCTCTCCTGTATGAGTCCTTTCATGAACCACAAGGTAACTAGTCTAACTAAATCTTTTCCAACATTTGGAGAATTTGTATGGCTTTCCTCCAATGTGGATCCTGTTATGCATAATCTGTGATTTGCTATGTGTGCTTTTCCCACAATAGGCACATCTATGGAGCTTTTCTACCACTGATGTTCTTGTAGAGGTCAAAAATACGTGTGGTCTTTTGCTGCATGGAACTTTGATTCAAGCTACTGTTTTCTTCCTCATAGGGCAAAGCCTGCATTACTGTCTAGAGACCTGCATTACTGTCTACCTTTTGTGGCTATCCAATTGTCTTTTTCCTCTTCACTCACTTCTAGATATTTCCCTCTTTTTCTGAATGGAAAAAATAATCTCCTTTGACCTTTTTATGTAATCTATTGTTGAGTTCTGCATATTCTACTTTTTCCAGTTTGAAATCTCTTCTTGATTTTCTCCCCTTTGTCTCTCACCAGCTGGGGAAAGAGAAGAAATGTATGCTTTTCGAAGGCTCAATTTGCTTTCATTTTCAAAGTTGTTGGTTATTCTCAGTTGTCCGGAGTGCTCTTATTGGTATCTTCTTCATCTGTAAGATTTAAATAAAAGTGTAAGTTTAAAATTGTTTCTTTATTGCAGAAGATGTGAAAAAAGTATACAAGTAAAAAGCAAACATGCCACAATGCTAAAATAGCTTCTAATGTTAATTATGATTTATTTGACACATTGCAGATAACTGAGATCCAAGTTCAAATATACATTCAGTCATGAAATATACTTGTTGACTTGGGTCAATCACAAATTCTTCATACTGCAATTATTGGGTAGTTTTTCCAAATATGCTATTTCTCTTTCATACTTTAAATGTTATAACTGAAAATATGGCAGATGGACATCTCTACGTTTATATGGCAAGGGAAAAATCAAAAATTAAACATAAATTATTGTAAGGTACTAAGGAAAGACGTTTGAGTTTGCCAAATTTGAAATTGTCCTTCCATGCCTGTTGTTTTCTGGCAAAAAGAGTGAGTGACTCTCCAAAATAAGAGGTTCCTTGAGATTGACAGGCATGAATAAAGATTAAAGTGATAAAGAATATTAGATTTAGACATGCCTTCCTCTTTAAGTGTCTCCCCAGGAGACACTTTTTTTTAGAAAAGAAATGGTGGCGAGGCCAGACTGGTGGACTTATGGTCAAATAATATCGTTCTATTATTGTGACCCTATCCTCAAATCTAAAGAGGAGTTGGAATTAAAAGGATGTTTGCCATTGATTTATATATTTACAATTGAAAGTAAGATTTGAACTAGACAAAAACAGCTATGGATACCATTTTGTGAAAAATGAATTGGAAATTGGAAATGAATTGTTGAATGTATTACTGCTGAGGTTTATAAACCGCTATTGAAATTGAACTTGCAGAATGAGTATGTGAAGCATTGTATGATTCAGTGGGCAAAGAACTTTGGATGTAATATAATGCTTGAACAATGAAAGAATATAACAGAATTAAACCTTGGGTGCAGAGGTGGGATTCTACAAGTTCGCTAGAACTGGTTGTTAACTTTCTAAGCAGTTCAGAGAATCAGTTGTTAGAAGAAATCTCTTGTTTTTTCCCACTTTACAGGGTTAATCCTGTAAGGAATTACAGTGTTCTGGTGTTGTTTCTAGCCTAATCTTTATTGCCCTGCTTAGAGAAACTTCCTTTCTATTAACCTTTATTACATTCTTCGCAAGACTTATTGTCTGAGCTTCTCAGGAGTTTTTATGTTCTTTGCTGGTACTTTCTTTTTCTTTGCTTGACTTTCTTAAAGGGGAAGGATTGTTTTAAGCTGTTTACAATGCTGTTGGGAGGAAATACTCCCCTGTTGGAGTTGTTCCAGCCGGGATGCAATGATCAGCACTTTGAAGAAATAATTGAATAAGGAAGAGCTGATGGAAAGAAGCTTTTAATGGCAAGGAACCAACATGAGTGCCATTCAGCAAGGCTTCTTGGCTAACTAGGAAGATTGACATTCAAAGGTGAGTTAACATACTCTTTCTGACTTTTGGTCTAAAACTGGTCTTTGGTGAAGTTTAATTCTGTGCTTGGTGATGTTTAATCCTGTGTTTATTGATGGGATAATTTTCCCTATTCAGCTTTGTTTGGAAGGAAAAACGTTAATCTCTGTTCCTGAAAAGAAGCACTTCGGAAATCTGGCTAGTTCCTGTGTCTATTTGTTCTGTAATTGGTTTAACAACCAACAACTACTGTGTTTGCTCTTTTGCTACATTCTAATTGCTTTCTTTATAGTTAGGCTTATCTCAAGTGCTTTTTTTATCTAGGGAGGGGGTCTTCCTTCACTGCTTTAGTGGTTCTTGGCACTGTCCTTTTGAGGTGTACTTCCAAGAGGCAGGATGCAAGCTTTGCACTGATTTTGTTTACTGTCTTTCTGGGGGGCATGTGATCTTTCCTTAAATCTGGATGATTTCCTTGGGATATCTTATGGGGTGAGTAAGACCAGCTGGTATCTTTAAGTGGTGCTAATGCATCTAAGGATTGCTTCTCCTGGGTGTGCTCTTTCTGGAGAGCTTAAATTACCTCTCTGCTACAGGGTTTTACTTTATGAGCAAGAGTTGGCTGCTGATAGTTATCATTGCATTTTAACTATTTTAATTCCTCAAGGTGCTCTGGCACCCTGCCGGATTTGTAACTCCAGCTTGCAGGTATTTCTAATGTAATGATTGGTATTTAGGGCAGCTTTTTGCAAACAAAGAAGCTTTTTTGTATTTTTGTATAGGTAATCTTTGACTTACAACAGTTCATTAATGACCATTCAAAGTTACAATGGCACTGAAAAAAGTGACTTATGACCGTTTTTCATACTTACTTATACCATCATCACATTTTTCGTTTTGCGCCCTATCTTGTCACCATGGTGAAGAGAAGCACCACAATTGTGAAATGAGTGATTCTACAGTTAATAATACTGCAATGGGCATAAATGTAAGGACGGTCAATCAGTATGAGGATCAGTCAAAAGTACAAGGACCGGTCATAATTCACTTTTTTCAGCCCTCTTGAGTAGTCCTTATGCACGTAGCCATACCCACCCGGTCACATGACCACCAAGCCACGCCCCCAAATAAGCCACACCCACAGAACTAGTTGTTAAAAAAATTGAATCCCACCACTGCTTGGGTGAGAGTGACCATGGCATACTAGACCATGTCATACTAGAATTCAACATAATGCAAACACAAGTAACAGAACATAGTGATACCAGAGTCTTCAATTTTAAAAGAGCTGATTTTAATAAACTCAGAGAGAACTTGGGAAAGATTCCTTGGATGAAAATCCTAAAGAGGAAAACAACTCAAAAATCTTGGGAAAGTCTGCACAATATAATAATAAAAGCCCAGACTAGCACAATACCGCTGAGAAAGAAAGACAAGAAATCCAAGAAGAAACCAGCATTGCTGCACAAAGATCTCTCTGACAAATTGAAAGACAAAAAGGACAAGTACAAAAAATGGAGAGAGGGACTAAGGCAGCATATCGACAGATAGCCAGAATCTGCATAGACAAAGTCAGGAAAGCAAAGACTCAGAACGAACAAAAATTTGCAACAAAAGTCAAAGATAATTTAAAAAGTTTCTTCCAACATATAAACAACAAGAAAAAAATCAAGGAAATGGTCCACTAAAGAGAGAAAACAGCAAAGAAGTAACAGGCAACAGAGAGACAACAGAGCTGCTTAACTCATTCTTTGCATCGGTCTTCACGCAAAAAGAAACTATAGTCCAATGTACCAGAAACATAACTGTATAAAACAGACTGGAAATAAAAGTTAAAATAAGCAAAAAAACAGTAAGAGAATACCTGTCTGATTTTGATGAATACAAATCACCAGGACCTGACCGATTACATCCCAGAGTTCTAAATGAGCTGGCCAAAGGCATCTAGGAACCACTGGACCACATGTTTCAAAAATCCTGGAACACCCGGGAAACTACCAGAGGACTGGAAAAGAGCTGATGTGGTTCCCATCTTCAAAAAGGAAAAAAAAACAGACCCAGGAAACTATAGACCAATCAGCCTAACATCAATACCTGGGAAGATACTGGAAAAGATAATTAAAAAAACAGATCTGCCAACACCTAGAAACGAGTAAAGTAATAACTAGTAGCCAGCACGGGTTGTTAAAAACAGATCATGCCAAACCAATCAATATATCTAGGTGTGCTGGGGATGGATTATACAATTGTAGCTAGATGCATACAGAGAGAAGTACAAATAGAAACCCCTACAAGTATGTACATATGTGGAAAATCCATCTGTTTTCAGCCTGAAAGCTGTCCCTAAACCCAAAATGGTTACAGTCAAACCTTCTGCGCTAATTTTAGAGATGTGGGGGATTTAATTGATAAAATGATGCCTAAAGACTGCAAGATTTGAAGCACCAGTTTTCCCATAGAAGTCCTCAGTTCCAAGTAAGGGCAGAAAATACTGTCCACAACCACTCTGGTGACATTCCTATTGAAGCAGTCCATACTTACTGACTGCATTTGGGGCTGGCATCTGTGTCACTAAGCACCCTGATCAGGAAGCATGATATCACATGAAAGCGACAACTTAAATCTGTTCCTCTGCAGTTGTTAAGCGAATCACTGTGGGTTTTTAAAGGCAATTTCACCTGACTGTGGCTTGCAACTTCCTGCTGGCATCCCCACTGATTTTGCTTGACAAGAATCTAGCTGGGAAGGTCACAAATGGGGATCCCGAGTGTGGGATGCTGAAACCATCATAAATGTGCACCAGTTGGCAGAACCCAAATTGTTGCAACTCCTTTTCTTTCACCTTCATAACCACTGGAATTGCTGACTTGTTCAGGTCACTGAACAAGAGTTACAATGAGCACTAATGTGTGGATCAGATGTGTATCTGCCTTTACTGTGCCATTGTAACTTTGAAGGGTCAGGGAACAAATGCTAAGTGAGGACTACCTATACAACTGAACATCCCAAAGGTTCTCAAAGCTATTTTTTAAAAAGTGCTGGCTTAAACACAGTTGAACCTGATTAATACATGGATGGGGCACCAATAAGAAATCAAATGCTTCTTGGCTAGACATGGAAATAAAAAAGCAAAAACCCCGGAAGAGATTTCCGATATTATTGCAAAAAAAACAACCAGTAGGTCCATAACAGAACAACAGATTTTGAAGGGATCTTGGAGAACTTCTAGATCTAGACCAGTCCCCTGCTCAGTCAAGGGGAGAGCCTGTACCATTTTGGATAAAGGGCTGTCCAGTTTCTTCTTAAAGGTTCTTGGGGAACCTGACAACTCTGTTGTGCAAAAAATAGGAGATAATTAGAGGGTCAGCTATACTGGATTTAATACTTACAAACAGGAAGGTTAGTTTGAAGAGAAGAAATGAAAGAGGAAGAAACATGACTGGGGGCTTGAGGCGAAAACATGTGAAGAAAAGTCGTAGGAATTGGGTAGGTCTAGTCTGGTGAAAAGAAGGATTAGAGGTGACATGTTCCAATATTTGAGGTGCTGCCACAAAGAAGAGAAGATTAACTTCTTCTCCAAAGCACCAGAAGGCAAGGCAAGAAGTAATGGATGGAAAGCAACGAAGGAGAGAAGCATCCTAGAAACCAGAAGAAATTTCCTGACAGCGACCAGTGGAAGGAAGGGCTTCCCTGCCCAAGTTGTGGGTGGTTCTCACTGGAGGCTCTGAAGAAGACACTGGACGGCCATTTGTCTGAAATGGTCCAAGTTCTCTTGCTTGAGCAGAGGGTTGGACTACATGACCGCCAAGGTCCCATCCAACTCCGTTTTTCTATATTCTATTCTATGTTCCGGTTGCTTCTCTGCTTCCACGCAGCGGAGGAAATCAAGCAGCCTTTCCTGCTCCCAGCCTCTCCTCCGACCTGCCCTCCACTCACCCACCAGCTGCTGCTTCGGCTCTTGGAAGAGCAGAGAAGCCACTCGGCGCACCACCTTCCTCCCGCGAGCGATCCGGTAGATCCAGCCCTTCCCTTCCCTCCCTTCTCGCAATGCAGTGCTTGATGGTTTTAACTCCTTAAGGCTCAGCCCCAGATGCCTCTGTAGCGACGGCTTCCTAGGCGCCGCTGATGTTGCCCATCTGACCGCCATCTCCCGATAGGAGGCGGTAAAACAGGCTCGTCCCGTCCCTACCTGTGAAGGCGTTTGCAAGACGTTTTCACCGATTCCACGCCCTCAAGTCACTTTCCACTCCTGGCAGCCGATGCGAGTGAAATAGTGAAACGTGACCCTACTTAACTTGGGAAGATTAGCTACAGGCTGAGCCTTAAACGTTCATAAAGTTATTAAAGATTTACAGAATAAGAGTTGGAAGGGACCAATTCTCCAAGTAGGGGACCCTATAACAGTGATGGTAAACCTTTTTGGTGCTGAGTGCCCAAAGCGTGCACATACAAGCCAGAATGCATGCACATTCTGTGAATCCTGAAAATGCAATGCTAGAGCCCCCAACACCTACACGCGTGTTCCCACGGATGCGCCCCAAGCCCCCCCCATGTGTCCTGGGCCCCTTGGCCCTGTTTTGGGCCTGGAAAGCTTCCTGCACCAACCCGCACCCCCCCCATGCATGCACCCCACACCCACATATGCGCATGTCTGTCCCTACATATGCCCCACAAATCGGCGGAGACCCGAAGACAAGCTGGCCAGTGGGAGGCGCACACGCATGCGTGGTGGAACTGGGCTGGGGTGATGGTTGTTGTGCCCGCATAGAGGGCTCTGTTGCCAGGTGGCCACTTTGAGCGGACAGTCCACTTTTTTCACATGTTCACTATTTTTTTTCACAAAATAGTGGACATTTTTTTTATTCAAAAGCTTTATGATGAAATGGTACGCAAGTTTTGCGAGTCAGAATTCCATGAAGTTTTGCGCCATGTTCCAACACGTTGGTTAAGTTTGTTTAAAGCGGTCGAAAGACTTCTTTTAAACTGGATACCTCTAAAATCGTATTTTATTTCTCTTGGATCTGATGAGTGCCATAAGGTTATCTGGAACCTTATTTCGGATCAGGAAAATGAACTCGCAAAGGACGATGAACCAACAATTTCAGAATTGTATTTATATTTCACGCACTTCTTCATGTCAATAATGCAAGACACCCTACTGAAGCTGGAAAGCAAGAAAATTCTTGCATGTGATCTGCACATTATCATGTGTAAGATTCTTTGCAAAAAAAATACGATGAGCAGTTTTTTGGAATGAAAGTTTTATTTGCCTTACGTAAAAAACATTTGCTTGAGAATGCCATTTCTCCTTTGGGGGAATATATTCTGCCTCTTAATATTCCCAAAAATATTTCATTCTTCTGGGGATGTGGTCTTTCCCACAATCCCAAAACTGACTTCCTGTGGCGTCCAAGGATTTAGGACACGGCAGCACCATGAGGCCAGACACTCCAAGGGAGCCAGCTTAATTCCTGCTGGCCAGGGTTGCATCCAAGAACACCCACAACGCCAATTCATTCCTGAAGGAGGAAATTTTATTTCTGAAAAAATGCCATGTGCTTCTGTAAATCTGCCTGCAGAGAAGTCTCCATTAGGTCAGAGAGAGAACAATATGCAGCAGGGCCTAGAAAATGGGGTTTAAAAAGAAGGGGTTGATTGATTGTATATGGTAGAAGAAATGTTTCAAAAGAAAATTTGTAAAAAAACAAAAAGGAAAAATAGAACATTCAACCAAAGCACAGACTGATTGAACACCAAGTTAACGTTTTTAGAGCAGTATCCTACACTGCCATTTTAATGCAGATTTAATAAAGTATGAATGGTGATAGTGGCCATTTCATCTATTGGCTCTGTTTCCATCCATGAGGACCTTGACTTTCATAATGTCTGTTGGATCCAGTTTAGAACTGGGAGAATCATCAGGGAAGTCAGACAGACTCTCTGTATTTTATGATTTTCAAAAGCTACAAACCCACTGGCACAACCAATGGCTGCTTTAGATGTTGTAATTTTACAAGGGAAACCTTAGTTGTCCAGTTTGAAATGTCCTAATTTTGACCTCTCAGACAGGCAATCCTGGAGAAGACCATCCCTGTATCTGAGAAAAAGGCCAATCAAAACAGATCCAGTGTAGCCATTCTAATTTTTAACTCTGCATAAAGAAATGTCATTCTTTCATAGAAGTTAGGACTGAGGCAAATAGCAATTCAACAAATTAAGAGGCAGAAGCGTATAAGAATTTAAATTTATAATGAGAAGGGAAATGAAGCTGAAGAAGACAGATTGGTTATAGAAGTGCAGAATGCAAAAGAGACAGATTACAGGTAGATTAACAATTGTAGAGTGTTAGAAACCAACTATGTGTGGAGAACTCACCACTGAAGAAGAATTGAGAAAAGGGCTTTCTGTTATAATTTTATTAGTTTTATTATTAAACTTATTCACTGCACATCTGGCAGTTTGAGGCCATTCTGAGTGCCTCGCCTTGCCCTAACATTCCTAGCAACACTGACGCTACCTGATTTTTTCCTTGCCAAAAGATATTGATAGTCCTTACATTACACAATGCATTATTAAAAATGAAAGATTTTCCACCGTTCAACCTTTTCCTCACATTGCCACCACCAAAGGGGATACAATAGATATTTCAGAGTGCTGCTATTACCCAGCAGCCATCAAAGGGAAAAAAGCAGGCACCTCCAAGAAAATGAGATCACAGCAGGAGTTGCTAATAAACATGGAGATCCTGTCATCAAAGCCACCATCCCTTTTCTCCTCAACTCAATATTCCTCCTGGAGGCAGCCCTCATTTTCAGTGCACCCACAATCCCATAATGCAGTTTGCACAGTGTTAAGGAAGCGAAACAGAGCAGTTTCTCCCTCTCCCATGCAACAATGACTCAGAAGCAGCTGCCATTTTGGCCCTGAGGAAGGTGTGACAAAATAGCAGCTGCTTCCACAGTCCATCACATGGCCCAGGGTTGAATCCCGGGCACACTGAAAATAACGGCTGCATCCAGAACATAGCCATCTGGCCCTGGGATGCGTGTCCTGGCCTTCTTCACCAACTTGAGGTTCAGAGATCTTCATAGGGTATGGAGGAGGCTGTGAGGCCTGGTGGGGTGGGAGTCAGGCCTAAGGAGTGTGGGGACGCAGCAGGAGGGGAAAAAAGCCTTTGGGGACCCTGTGGGTGGGAAAAAGGCCTGTGGGGACTCTGTGGGGAAGGAAACACCTTTGGGGACCCTGGGAAGAAGGGAAATGCCTATAGGGACCCTGTGGGAGAGGGAAAGGCTTGGAGGGATCCTGTGGAGAGGGAATTGCTTGATAACACACACACAAAACACCGGACAGTACACCTTTATCAAGTTAATATTTACCATTTTTTCTCTCCAATCACAGTTCTACTTCTGAGATATCTTCCAGTAAAATGAATCAGGACGGAACTTAAATAGTCAATTTCTCACTTACACTTCCAATGACAGATCAAAAATGAAACTTAAACTTTGTCTAAATTCATCACCTTTTGCCTAATGTGGATTTACTTGGTCTGTTGTGTGGATGTTTGGGTGGTTTAGGGGTGGAGAATTGCGGTGGGTGGGAGTGTGTTTGGGGATTGTTATGTGTGTTGGACCTGGTCTTTGGGTGTTAAGTGAATTTCGTTGTATGGGTATTATGTGCATACACGTACAATGACAATAAAGTTATTATTATTATTTCCTTGACTTTCTCTCCTGTGTGTAAACCTACATTACTTATATGTCATTTGTTTTCTCTCCTGTACTGTATGTATACTCACCAGGTTAAAATTGTGACTGAAACTTTTCCCACTATCAGGACATTCAAAAGGCTTCTCTCCTGTGTGAGTCCTCTGGGATTTCACCAGATCAGAACAGTAAGTGAAACTTTTCCCACACTCTGGACCCTCGTATGGCTTCACTAGATCAGAATTATGACTGAAACGTTTTCCACAATCTGGACATTCATATCATTTCTGTCATGTGAGTCCTCTGGTGTATCACCAAGTTGGACCTTTGACTGAAATGTTTCCCACAATCAGGACATTCAAAGGGTTTCTCTCCTGTGTGAGTCCTTTGATGTTTAACCAAACTGGAATTCCAACTGAAACGTTTGCCACAATCAGAACATTCAAATGGTTTCTCTCCTGTGTGTGTCCTCTGGTGTTCCACCAGGTTGCAATTCTGACTGAAAGCTTTCCCACAATCAGGACATTCAAAGAGTTTCTGTCCTGTGTGAGTCCTCTGGTGTTTCATCAAGCTGCGGTACCAATTGAATTTTTTACCACAGTCAGGACATTCAAATGGTTTTTCTCCTGTGTGAGTCCTCTGATGAACCACCAGACTTGAATTCTGACTGAAACCTTTCCCACAATCAGGACATTTGTACGGTTTCTCTCCTCTGTGAGTCCTTTGGTGTGTCACGAAGCTGGACCTTTCACTGAAACTTTTCCCACAATCAGGACATTCAAAGGGTTTCTCTCCTGTGTGAGTCCTCAGGTGTTTAACCAAATGGGAATTCAAACTGAAACGTTTTCCACAATCAGAACATTCAAAGGGTTTCTCTCCTGTATGAGTCCTCTGATGAATCACCAGGCTTGAATTCTGACTGAAACATTTCCCACAAACAGGACATTCAAAGGGTTTCTCTCCTGTGTGAGTCCTCTGGTGTTTAACCAAATTGGAATTCCAACTGAAACGTTTGCCACAATCAGAACATTCAAAGGGTTTCTCTCCTGTGTGAGTCCTCTGATGAACCACTAGACTTGAATTCTGACTGAAACCTTTCCCACAATCAGGACATTTGTACGGTTTCTCTCCTGTGTGAGTCCTTTGGTGTGTCACCAGGTTGGAATTCTCACTGAAGCCTCTGCCACAATGAAGACATTCAAAGGGTTTCTCTCCTGTGTGAGTTCTCTGGTGGCTTATCAAGTTAGAATTATGACTGAAACTTTTCCCACAATCAGGACATTCAAAGGGTTTTTCTCTTGTGTGAGTCCTCTGATGATTCACCAGCTCAGAATTTTGACTGAAACTTTTCCCACAATCAGGACATTCAAAGGGTTTCTCCCCTGTGTGAGTCCTCTGGTGTACCACCAAGCTGGACCTTTGACTGAAACTTTTCCCACAATTAGGACATTTAAAGGGTTTCTCTCCTGTGTGAGTCCTCTGATGTTTAACCAAATGGGAATTCAAACTGAAACGTTTGCCACAATCAGGACATTCAAAGGGTTTCTGTCCTGTGTGAGTCCTCTGATGAATCACCAGGCTTGAATTCTGACTGAAACCTTTCCCACAATCAGGACATTCAAAGGGCTTCTCTCCTGTGTGAGTCCTCTGGTGTTTCACCAGGTTGCAATTCTGACTGAAACCCCTGCCACAATGAAGACACTCATAGGGTTTCTCTCCTGTGTGAGCCCTCTGATGGTGTACCAGGTTAGAATTCTCACTGAAACTTTTCCCACAATCAGGACATTCAAAGGGTTTCTCTCCTGTGTGAGTCCTCTGGTGTTTAACCAAATGGGAATTCCAACTAAAACGTTTGCCACAATCAGGACATTCAAAGGGTTTCTCTCCTGTGTGCATCCTCTAGTGTCTCACCAGGTTGGAATTCTGACTGAAAGTTTTCCCACAATCAGAACAGATTTGCTATGTGTGCTTTTCCCACAATAGGCACATCTATGGAGCTTTTCTACCACTGATGTTCTTGAAGAGGTCAAAAATACGTGTGGTCTTTTGCTGCATGGAGCTTTGATTCAAGCTACTGTTTTCTTCCTCATAGGGCAAGGCCTGCATTACTGTCTAAAGACCAGCATTTCTGTCTACCTTTTGTGGCTATCCAATTGTCTTTTTCCTCCTCACTCACTTCTAGATATTTTCCTTTTTTTCTGAATGGAAAAAATAATCTCCTTTGACCTTTTCATGTAATCTATTGAGTTCTGTATACTCTACTTTTTCCAGTTTGATATCTCTTCTTGATTTTCTCCCCTTTGTCTCTCACCAGCTGGGGAAAGAGAAGAATTGTGTGCTTTTCTGAGGGCTCAATTTGCTTTCATTTTCAAAGTTGTTGGTTATCCTCAGTTGTCCGAAATGCTCTTATTGGTATCCTTTTCATCTGTAAGATTTAAAGAAAAGTGTAAGTTTAAAATTGTTTATTTATAAAGTGGTTGCAGAAGATGTGAAAAGTATACATTACAAGTAAAAAGCAAACATGCCATGATGCTGAAATTTTCTAATGTTAATTATGATTCATTTGACACATTGAAGATTACTGAGATCCAAGTTCATGAAATCATACAATCATGAAATACAGTTGTTGACTTGGGTCAATCACAAATTCTTCACACTGCAAATATTGGGTAGAATCTCAGTAATTCAGGTAAATGTTTTACGAAACATGCCGTTTCTCTTTTACACTTTAAATGTTTAATTGTAACTCAATTTAAACTATGACAGATGGACAACTCTAAGTTTGGTGGACTTATGGTCAAATAATATTGTTCAATTATTGTGACCCTATCCTCAAATCTAATGAGGAGTTGGAGTCAGAAGGATATTTGCCATTTATTTATACATTTACAAATACATTTACAATGGAAAAAAAGATTTGAACTAGACAAAAAGGGCTATGATATGATTTTGTGAAAAATACTTTTTCAAGCATTTTTAACTTCTAGTTCTGGAGAATCGGCAGTAAAAAAATGCTTAAAAAGTAAAAAAAAAAAAGTTCCGACGATTGCGGCTCACTCAGCTGATTGTCAAAACTTTTTAAAAAACATTTTTTTACTACCAGTTCGGCGAAACAGTAGCATTTTTTTACTACCGGTTCGGATGAACTGGACCAAACTGGTAGCATTTCACCCCTGCTGCAAAGGGATATCATGAAATATATCTAGAAGTGCTGGGAATGGATTATACAATTGTAGATAGATGCCTACAGAGGGATGTACAAATACACACACCTACAAATATGTATATATGTGGAAAATCCATGTGTTTTCAGCCTGAAAGCTGTCCCTACAACATTCAAGACAGTTGCCAATGTTCCCAGGAGTGGACATCCCAGCAAATTCACCCCAAAGACCATACAATGCTCAGAGAAATAGCAAAAAAAGAGTTATATCTCAGACTCTACAGGCCTCAGTTAGCATGTTAAATTTTAAAGTTCATGACAATACAATCAGAAAAAGATTAAAGAGGTAGGTTTCCTTTGGAAGTGTTGCCAGGAGAAAGCCTCCTCTCTAAAAAAACATGGCAGCATAACTAAAGTTTGCAAAGTTGCATCTGAACAAATTACAATTATTCTAGAACACTATCCTTTGACAGACAAAACCAAAGTGGAGAAGTTTGGCCATAATACACAGTGCCACCAAACACAGCATATCAGCACAAACAGCTCATACATACCGTCAAGCACGGTGATTGAGGGATTCATGATTTGGGCTTGTTTTGCAGCCACAAGACTTGAACACTTTGCAATAATTGAGTCGACCATGACCTCCTCTCTATACCAAAGTATTCTAGAGTCAAATGAGAGGTCATCTGTCCAACAGCTAAAGCTTGGCCGACATCGGATTATGTACCAGGACAATAATCCCAAAGCACACCAGCAAATCTGCAACAGAACGGCTTAAAAAGAAAAGAATCAAAGTGTTGCAATGGCCCAGTAAAAGTCCAGACCTCAACCTGATTGAAATGCTGGTGCAGGATCTCAGGAGAGATGTGCAAAAATAAATGCCCAGAAACCTCAATGAATTGAAGCAATGTTGTAAGTGGACCAAAATTCCTCCACAACGATGTTACAGACTGATAAAGTCATACAGAAAAGAATTACTTCAAATTATTGCTGCTAGATGATCCAAGATGGCAAAGACTGCCTCAGTCAAATGCTCTCTAATGGCTTCTTTATTTTTAATTATTCTCTGCGACTCACTATGGATTTCTTACTCACAAGACCATCTGCTAAGAATTAAGCAATGTTTCTTTAAGAAGCAACTTTCTGTGATCTCACACACATCCTACCCCCCCACCCCCGCCACCCCCACCCCCGTCTTTACACACATGTAGGAGATTCTAATACAGGAAGAAGCAATTTCCCTGGAGCTATGGATTACCAAGAAAACCAAACAAAGAAAACTGAGACAAGGTAAAAGGGCGGGAATTTTAAACAAGGTAAGAAATAAGGGAAATAGAACAGCTCTCCCTTCGATCTTCCTGACAAATATAAACTCGCTTGCTAACAAGATGGATTAAATACTCCTTTTAAACAGATGCAACTCTGATTTTCACAGTGCCTATGAAATAAATAAAGCTGCCCTATCCTTTATTGAAACCTGGTTACATGATGATTATTGATGACAACAGCATGCATATTCCAGGGTATGATTCATCTTGTACCTGCTTACAGGCAAAGACTTAAAATCACAAAACCAACAATTAAATCAGTGAAGACCTGGACTGAGGAGGCAAAATTAAAGCTACAGGCCTGCCTTGACTGCACTGATTGGAATGTTTTCGAAAGTACCTCTGTAGACTTAGATGAACTCACAGATACTGTAACATCATATGTCAGCTTCTGCGTAGACCTATGTGTACCGACCAGGAACTTGCGAATATACAGTAACAACAAACCTTGGTTCACAGCTAAACCTAAGCAGCTACATCGTTCCAAAGAGGAAGTCTACAGAAAAGGTGATAAAATGCTGTACAATCAGGCCAGAAACGTATTAACAAGGGAGAGCAGAGCAGCAAAAAGAAGCTACTCTGAAATGCTAAAGAATCAGTTCTCAACAAATGAACCAGCAAACATGTGAAAACTCTTAAAAATATCACCAGCTACGGCAAACCTCCTTCCCAGGCTGAAGGAAATCAACAACTGGCAGATGACCTGAACGTGTTTTACTGCAGGTTTGAAAGGAAACTACAGCCACCTATCTCCACAACCCACATCTCAGACACACCAAAAACAGCCAAATCTCCTACAACTGACCTCATCCCATTGGGTTCATGACCCCTAGTGATCACAGAAAAAGAAGTGCAAGACCTATTTCACAGACAAAAGCCAGGAAAAGTTCCAGGCCCAGACAAGATAACTCCTCCTTGCTTAAAAGTCTGTGTTGACCAATTGGCTGCCATCTTCACCCGTATCTTCAATAAATTGCTAGAGATGTGCTATGTTCCTTCTTGCTTCAAACGCTCTACTATTATCCCAGTGCCGAAGAAGCCCACCATCAAGGAACTGAACGACTACAGACCAGTTGTTCAAACATCTGTAGTTATGAAAACCTTTGAAAGGCTAGTGCTGTCTCACTTGAAAACCATCATGGATCCACTGTTAGACCCCTTGCAATTTGCGTACCGAGCAAATAAATCAACAGATGATGCTGTTAATATGGCTCTGCACTACATCCTACAACATCTTGAATCTCCAAAGACCTACACAAGGGTCCTCTTTGTAGACTTCAGTTAAGCGTTCAACACCATCATTCCAGACACTCTTCTAACTAAACTAAACCAGCTAGCGGTACCTGAACACCCTTGTAAGTGGATCATAAGCTTCCTAACAGACAGGAAGCAGCAGGTGAAGCTAAGCAGAATCACATCAGATACCTGTACAATTAGCACAGGGGCCCCACAAGGCTGTGTGCTCTCTCCACTTCTCTCTATATACCAATGACTGCATCTCAAAGGATCCATTGTTAAACTACTGAAGTTTGCAGATAACACAACAGTCATCAGTCTCATTCGAGACAATGATGAATCCATATACAGACGGAGGTTAAAACATCAAAAAAGCACAACAAAGAATGTTCTTTCTGCGCCAACTCAGAAAGCTCAAACTGCCCAAGGAGCTGCTGATACAGTCTTACAGAGAAATTATTGAATCTGTCATCTGCACCTCTATAATTGTCTGGTTTCGTTCTGCAACCCAACAAGACAGACACAGACTTCAGAGGATAATTAGAACTGCAGAAAAAACAATTACTACCAACCTGCCTTCCATTTAGGACCTGTATACTGCACAAGTCAAAAAGAGGGCTGTGAAAAGATTTACAGACCCCTCGCATCTTGGATATAAACTTTTTCAACTTCTACCCTCAAAATGACACTATAGAGCACTGCACACCAGAACAACTAGACACAAGGACAATTTTTCCCCGAATGCCATCACTCTGCTAAACAAATAATTCTCTCACCACTTTCAAGTTAGTTACTAAGTCTGCATTACTATTAATCTTCTCATCATTCCTATCACCCATCTCCTCCCACTTATGACTGTAACCTTGTTGCTGGTATTCTTAAGATTTATATTGACTGTTTCCCTATGACTATCATTAAGTGTTGTACCTTATAATTCTTGACGAATGTATCTTTTCTTTTATGTACACCGAGAGCGTATGCATCAAGACAAATTCCTTGTGTGTCCTATCACACTTGGCCAATGAAGAATTCTATTCTATTCTATTCTATTCTATTCTATTCTATTCTATTCTATTCTATTCTATTCTATTCTATTCTATTCTATTCTATTCTATTTCTATTCTATTGGCGGCTCTAGAAGATATTCAATCATAAGATGTTACTTTTTCCACATATGGCTTCTCTATTTTGCCTTTTTTATATATAATAAAAAGAACCTTTTTGCTGTCATGTGCCAAAAGTGGGGGTCGCGTGAGGGGTCGCATGTGCACGTGCCCACACCTATAATTCAATGCACCTGGCCCCCCACGCATGCATGTGCAACCCCCATGCATGCACACATGAGCCCCCCCTGCACTCCCCCCGCTTTTCGCACGCAATAGCACGGTAGGCCCGGTAGGCCTGTTTTTCGTACTCCCCAGGCTCCAGAGCCTTTTTAGGAGCCTGATAGGAGCGAAAAACAGGCCTTCCCCAACCCCCCGGAGGCTGGAAACAGCCTGTTTCCTGACTTCCGGTGGGCCCGAAAGACCTGAAAATCAGCTTGTGGGCACCTGAGCTCAACTATGGCAATGCTTGCATGCCCACCAATATGGCTCTGTGTGCCACCTGTGGCACGCGTGCCATAGGTTCGCCATCACAGGATTATACAATTGCAGATATATGCATACAGAGAGAAATACAAATGTATATACGGAGAAAGTTCATGTGTTTCAGCCTGAAAAATGTCCTAAAATTGTTACAGTCAAAACATTTGAGCTAACTTTAGAGATGTGGAGCTTTAATTGATTAAATGATACTTAAATCCTCAGCAAGATTTGAAGCAACAATTTTGCTCATGGACGTTCTCGACTCCAAATAAGGACAGAAGATACTGTCATTTTTTACTCTCATTGTCACTAAGCAGCCCAATCATTAAGCATGATGTCGCATGACAGTGCCAATTTACAACTGTTCCTCTGCTGTTGTTAAGCAAATTCCTGTGGGTTGTTAAAGGCAATTTCACATCACTGTGACTTGCAATTTCCTGCCAGTACACCCATTTATTTTGCTTGTCAAAAGCTAGGTGGGAAGGTCACAAATGGGGAGCATGATTATGGGATGCTGCAACCATCATAAATGTTGGCCGAACCCAAATTGGTGCAACTCCTTTTCCTGCACCTTCAAAACTACAGGAACTGCTGATGTGTGGTCACTGAAGAAGTGCTGCGATGACCACAAATTTGTTGACCAGGTGTATGTCACCAGTTTTAAAGCGTGTAGCGCCAGTGAACTTAAATTTGGGGAGGGAAAGGAACATGTAGCAGCAGCTGACTTGTTTCACCCTGTTGCTTCCATGCCATGGAAGAAATCAAACAGCCTTACTTGCTCCCAGACTCACAGAATAATAGGGTTGGAAGGATCTTGAAGGTCTTCTAGTCCAACACCCTGCACAAGGAGGAGACCCTGAAAAAATGCTCTTTTCACTCCTCCAACTTGTCCTTAACTCACCTTCCAGTTGCTGCTCTTCCCCTGGAAGTGCACAAGAGCCACTCTGCACACCACATTCCTCCCATGAGTGAGCCAGACGTTCCATTCTGCTTCTCCTCCCCCATCCTTTCTAGAAACGCAGTACTTGATGTTTTAACTCCTTTTAGCTCCACCAGATTCCACTATCATATTGTTGGCTTTCTAGTCACAGACGCTGCTTATTTGACTGCCATCTCATGATAGGAGGCCGAAAAACTGGCTTGTCCTGTCTCTGCCTAAGGCATTTGCAAGATGTTTTTACTGGTTATATGCTATCAAATCATTTTTTGACTCCTTAGCAACCTATCATTCCAACTGAGCCAAATAAAATAGTGAAATCTGACACCATTTACCATATGAAGATTAGCTACATGCTGAGCCCTAAAACTTCATGAAGTTATTACAGAATAAAAGTTGGAAGGAACTCCAAGCAGGAAACCCTGTACCATTCCGGACCAATGGCTGTCCAATCCACTTAAAAACCTTCATTGATGGAGCCCCCATAACTTCTGGAGGCAAGTCGTTCACTGGAAGGCCAAGGAAACTTTCAAATTCTGATGTGGAAATTCACTAAGGACCTGGTTCAGCATCTGGCAGCTTAACTGGGATGACAAGTTGATCCTTCTACAGTCTGAACAAGCCCTATCAGGAATGGTCTTTGTGGATGGGTAGCAGCCATCCACAGCCTTTTGCAGAACGGGAACAGGATGAAAAGGCTAAGATATGCTAAACCTCACAAAAACTGAACTAAGGCTCAGTAAAAAAAGAATGTTATGGAATGATGAGTCCAAGACTGAAATTTTTGGATCCAATTGTCAACAATATGTGAGAAGAGTTGGAGAGAGATAGATAAGTCCTGGTTTGGAGCTACATTTCTGCAAGTGGTGTTGGCAATATTGATGGGATCATGAACGCTGGAAAGTACAGACAGGTTTTAATTCATCATGCCATTCCTTCTGGAAAGGGCTTGATTGGGAATGGGTTTATTTTTAAGCATGATAACAGCCCCAAGCACATTGTTCCTGCAGTGAAGGGATATTCAGAGAGAAAAAGAGCTGATAAAACACAGTGATAGACTGGCTTCCACTGAGTTCAGATCTGAATATTATGAACACTGTATGGGATCAGTTGGATAGAGAAAGAAATAAGACAACCTAAATCTAAAGAACAACTCTGGGATGTGCTGAAAAAAGCCTGCTATAATATACCAGAAGATAACCACAGAAAACTTCAGAACAATCTCCCCAAAAGAGTTCCAGATATGCTTAGAGCCAATATAGTTCACACTAAATGCTGACTATTCCCTGAAGAAGTCATTTTGTTCTGCGATTTGTGTTTGTTTACATTTTATATACATGTTTCGTGTATTTCCTATTTGAACCTTAATATAAAAATGGAAAAATAATTATGGTCATTAAAACTTTGCTAAAACAACAAATCTAATGATGGCTTAAAACTTTTGCACAATACTATTACTTTTCCATTAAAGCCATATTTTGCAGCAGTAGAGTTCTAAAATTATGAGCAAGCTGTCAACAGAAATCCTGAGAGCAGGGTGCTTCTCCCAAAACTTGTCTCTGTGATACTCCAAACTATACTGCTCAAAAAAATAAAGGGAACACAAGCAGAAGACATCCGAAATCTGAATGAATGAAATAGCCTTATTAAATCCTTTCTTCTTTACATACAGTAGTTTATACACTGCTCAAACAACTAAAGGGAACACAAAACTACTGTATGTAACGAACAAAGTATTTAATAAGGCTATTTCATTCATTCAGATCTCGGATGTCTTCTGCTTGTGTTCCCTTTATTTTTTTGAGCAGTATATAAACAGTAAGGAGCTTCAGTGCAATTAGCAACCAAATAAAGGTGAAAATAAGTAACAGCCACTTGAAACCTCTCTCAACACTAAAAAGTTAAATATATTGTTGCCAATCAAACAAGAGGGAACAATGTACCTTGTGACCTCCCCTTGATTTTCATGATCCCTCTCCATTTGAAATCTCTGAAAATTACTGCAAAATGCTGATAGCAGTTAGGAAAGGAGGTTGCATGAAATTCCCTCAATTAGGCTGTGATCTACAGCACTGTTGTGCTGTCTTATGGCTCCTTTTATCCTTGGGGAACATGTAACTCTATTGGTGGAAAGGAGGAATCAAGTTGTTTTTTGGGTGCAGCTTCATTTTAGAGATGAAAACCCTTAACACAGGAGAAGGAAGGCAGGGAATGGATCCTCCTACTCAGAACAAGGGGTTCTCCATATTTTTGGGAGGAGAGCCGTGTGAATTTATGAGAGCCAAAATCGGATGGCATGGGAATATCACTTTTGCACATTAGGCATTTTAATGCAATTTGTTCGTCAGAAAAGATGCTGCCAGACTCCTCTTGACATACCGTATAAGGGTAGATACTGTATTCAGCAAATCGCAAATCGCTAATGTAGTGTAGTCCAACCACATCTCCAGGGCTTTCTCGCTAATCTTTAATAGCGATGAATTCCTAATTTGCATTTAGAGGTTCAGGTTAGCATATGCAACTACCTTTTTCAATCTCGATCCTCGTTTTTGATCTTGGGCTTGGGCTTTCCTTGGGGGTGGCTGTCTTTGGCATTGTTTGCAGTTTCCCAGCAGCGGCTTCAGCGAAGGGGTTAAACGCAGAGAGGTTTTCTTTTGCGCCTAGAGAGGAGGCAGGAAAGGGGGAAAATAGGGGCCAGTTTCCGGTCCTTCCTGCTCCCCATTCTTGTCTCCCGAAGGCTTTTAAACCAGGGCTGCGGAGATCCCCTCTCGGGGAGGGGCGCCAGGTGGGCAAGGACGCTGCGAGAGGGGGAGGGGACCAGGAGAAGGGAGGAGGGGGGGATCCCCAGGTGCGGGAAGGGAGGAGGGATTCCTTGGGGGAGGGAAGGAGAGCGAGGTGGGGGTTTCCCCAGTTGCCCCCCCCTCCCGACTCTCCGCCTTTCCTTGCAAGCTTTTCTGCTCCCGTGGGAACCGCTGCGCCGCCGCCTCTCCTCCTCCTCCTCCTCGGTTGCTGCTTCTGCGAACGGCTCTCCCGTCCCTTTAAAATCCTCCCTCCGAGCCCTTCTCCTTCCCCGCAGCCCCACATTTGGTGCAGATCGGCTCCCAGGGTGAGACCGCCTGGTGTTGGGGAAGGTTGGGCATCGCCGTTCCCACGTTCCCCTGTGGCTGCTGGGGAGGATCCGCTTCCCAGGGTCTGGAAGGGAGGAAGAGGATCTGGACTGAGAGGGATCGTGGCTGCAGGGGCTCCCTCCGAGGGCGGGAACCCTGTTAGGAGGAGCCCAGTGGCATCTCAATGGTGGGTGACCAAGACCTGAGAGGCGTCCAGGTAGGCTTGGCCAATGGGCAGCCCTGTCCAGGTGGGCTTGCTTGGAGATGCAGCACCTGGATCTGCCTCTCTCACCTGCCCAGATTCCCTTTCTGGTGACTGCTGCATCCCTGTTTCTCTCTGCCCATGTAAGTGAACAGCCCTGTCTGCGGACATTTTCTTTTTTTCCCCCCCCTATCTATTTTTTTTTATTGAAAAAGTTTTTCAAATACAGTTTCCCCCCCTCCCCCCTCCTCCCTAACCCCCCCTCCCCCTCCCCTCCCCCCTTGGCTTCTCCAAAATAAAATCCAAATTGATATCACATTGTATAATACTTTACCATCCTTTTACACCACCACCCATATGCTAACCATTTCTTTCTAACATTATTATTATATCCCCCCTATACTATACATTTCAAAGCAACATTCAACTATAAAATTATATAATAAATCCTAATTTGGCATTTATTCAACTCATAATCTACCCATTTCCTCCACCCCCATAACATCCCTTTTCCTAAACTAAACAATCAGTAGCCTAACCTATCTCCACTGTCTCCAATGTCTGCGGACATTTTCAATTTTTATTTCTTTTATGGGTTATATAATTTACCCTGAAAAAGAAGCTCTCTGCTGTTTTGTACAAAGAGATCAAGAGGGTTCTGTGGAATATTTAGAAAGATAAAAGATTCTCAGGTCAAGGGAGAGGCCTGGGAGCTCTAATAACTGCCTGCAGAGCACTTTGGGGAAGAGAGACTGGTGTGCACAAAAGGCAGGTTGGTTGAGCTCCAAAGTGGCTTCAGTTGTTGGAATAAAATGCCATTTGGACAGTTTTTGTTTATATTCTATCGACCCAGTCCTGCTTCCTCTAGTTATTCCATTACCATCTTCCCTTTCTAATTTTCAGTTTTTCTCCAATTCTGTCTATTTAAGGTGTATAATTTCTCTTTCTCTCCACTTTCACTTTTATAGCTTTCAGTTTCTGTAAATATTTAAGTATTTTAACATAATGTAAATCTCGGTCACTTCAGAGCCTACTAACATCAGCCTGGTGCACTATATGATGCTATTTTGTCCAGGCTTTTTTAAAGGGGAGAAGGGCCATTTTTCCCAAGCAATTCAAAAGGATAAATCACTGTCTGGATTGATCATTTTAAATGCAAAACAGTTCAGTAAGTTTAATGCCAAGGGCATTGCCCACACATGCTCCCACATATTAAAAGTTCCTTGGTATAGGATATTAGGAAAAGAAAGTATGAACATTCAGGTGAACATTTTGCCCCCATAATTCTCCGTTTTAAAAAAAAAAGGCCTTAACCTTGACCCTGGCTCAACAGCAGTAACTGTGAACGGGATCTAGGACCTTCAATGGACAGTCCAAGTATGAACTAGGAGTGTGCTGCAGCTGTAGAAAAAGCCAATGCAGTCCTAGTCTGCATCAACAGTGGGATAGTATGAAGAGCACGTGAAGTCCCAAAGGTGCTCTATCAAGAGACAACTGCATTTTGTTTTGCCTAGAAGATGGTTCTGAAGAAAATTCTTGGATGAGAAGCGAAACATCTTCAAGGAAAAACAAAGAAAATTCAGTTGCCTCTTGAAAAAGCACTTTTGGGGTAATAATGACCTGGATGACTGAGAATCTGCACAGACATCACATGAAGTGCTTGTTCTGTGTATACTGACGGTAAGACTACACTTGGAATATTGCATCCAGTTTTGGTCACCATGATACAGAAAAGATATTGAGACTCTCGAGAGAGTTCAAAGAAGAGCAACGAAGATGATTAGGGGATTGGAGGCTAAAACATACAAAGAAAGATTGCAGGATCTGGATCTGTCTAACACAGAAAACGATTCAGGGTGACATGATAGCAATCTATTTGGAGGCTGACAAAGAAAAGGGGGTTGGCCTATTCTCCAAAGCGCCTGAGAACAGGAGAAGTAACAGATGGAAACTTACCAAAAAGAGATCCAACCTTTTTGAGGTTTAAGGAGAAATTTCCTGTCAGTGAGAACAATCAGTAGTATGCCTTGCCTCCAGAAGTTGTCAGTATTCCATCAGTGGAGATTTTTAAGAGGATATTGGACAGCCGTTTGTCCAGAATGGTATAGTATCTCCTGCTTGGAGAGTTGGTCCCTTCCAATTCTTATTCTTTAATGCTGTTAGAACCTCATGAGCATGTAGCTAATCTTGAGAAGGTAATTAGTGTCACATTTCACTAGGGTCAGTTGCAAAGGTAGATTGCAAACATCTTAGGTAGATATGGGACAAGCATGTTTTTCCACCTCCTATCAGGAGATGGCGATCATGAAAGCAACATCTGTGCCTAGAAAGCCAACAATACAGTAGCCACATCTGTGGTTGAGTTTAAAGGAGTTAAAACCATCAAGTTACTTTTATTGCTAGAAAGGATAGGAGGAGCCGAGAACCTCAAAGGAATTTCCTCTTCCTGCTCACCGTGGGAGGAGGGTGATGTGCAGGAGGATGGCTTTTGTGCTCTTCCAAGGGTCAAAGCAGCATCTGGAAGGTGAGTTGAGGACAGGTTGGTGGGGAGGCCAGGAGCATGTTGTCCTGTTTGGTTTGTGTGCTGCCAACCGGTGAACATTTATGATGGTTACAGCATCCCACACTCATGATCCCCATTTGTGACCTTCCCTGCTAGATTCTGTCAAGGAAAAACAGTGGGGATGCCGGCAGGAAGTTGCAAGTGACAATAATGAGAAATTGACTTTTACAACCTACAGTGATTTGCTTAACAACTGCAGAGGAGCAGATGTAAGTTGGCGCTGTCACATGACATCAGGCTTCATGATCAGGCTGCTTAATGTTGTAGATGCCAATCCCAAATGCTGTAAGTAAGTGAGGACTGCTTGAATTGGGATGTCACCAGAATGGTGACAGTGGACAGTATTTTCTGCCTTTACTTGGAGCTCAGGACTTCAATGGGCAAAACATTTTTCTGACTGAAAACACGTGGATTTTCTACATGTATACCTTTATAGGTGTGTGTATTTGTACGTCTCTCTGTATGCATATATCTACAATTGTATAATCTATCCCCAGCACTTCCAGATATATTTGATGATAACTGTTTGCAGTGCCAAGAATTTATGATTGACATAAGTCAATAAGAGAATGTCATGAGTAAATGAGTATTTGAACTTGGATCTCTCTAATCTTCTATCAATCATAATTAATGTAAAAAGTTATTCTAATATTGTGGCATGTTTGCTTTTCAATGTAATGTATCCTTTTTATCACATCTTCTGCAACCATCTTACAAATAATTAAAGTTACACTTTTCTTTGCATCTTACAGACAAAGAAGATGGCAATAAGAGCATTCTGTCCAACTGAGAATAGCAAGCAATGTTGAAAAGGAAAGCAGTTATTTTCCATTTCCTTCAGAAAACCACATAATTCTTCTCCTGCCCCAAAAGCTGAGAGACAAAGGATAGAAAATCAACAAGAAGAGTTTTTTGAGCTGGAATAAGTAATTTATGCAGAATTTAAGGATACAATATACAAAAAGATCACAGGAGATTATTTTTCCATTTAGAAAAAGAGGGAAATATCTGGAAGTCAGTGTGAAGTAAAAGGTTAATTGGATGGTCACATAGGGCAGTCACAATGCAGGCTTCACCCTGTGAGGAAGAAAATACTTTGAATCAAAGTTCCATCCAACAAGGATCGCACCTATTTTTGACCTCTTCAATATCAGTGGCGGAAAAGCTTCATAGATCTGCCTATTGTGAGAAAGGAACAGATTGCAAGTCACAGCTGATTATGGACAACATGATCCACATTGGAGAAAAGCCATATAAATATTCTGAATGTGGTAAAAACTTTAGTCAGAGCTGCTCCCTTGTGGTTGATGGAAGGACCCACACAGAACAGAAGCCTTACATATTTTCCCAATGTGATGAAAGCTTTGGCATGCACAGCAACTTGGTAATACATCAGAGGACTCACAATAAGGAGAAATCACATGACTGTCCTGATTGTGGGAAGAGTTTCATTGGAAATTCCCACCTCATGAGACATCTGAGGACTCACACAGGAGAGAAACCCTTTGAGTGTCCCGATTGTGGGAAAAGTTTCAGTCAGAATTCCACCCTGGTGAAACACCAGAGGACTCACACAGGAGAGAAGCTCTTTGAATGTCCTGACTGTGGGAAAAGTTTCAGTCAGAATTTCAACCTGGTGATACACCAGAGGACTCACACAGGAGAGAAACCCTTTGAATGTCCTGACTGTGGGAAAAGTTTCAGTCAGAATTCCAACCTGGTGATACACCAGAGGACTCACACAGGGGAGAAATTGTATGACTGTCCTGATTGTGGGAAGAGTTTCATTACAAATTCCCACCTGGTGATACATCAAAGGACTCACACAGGAGAGAAACCCTTTGAGTGTCCTATTTGTGGGAAGAGTTTCAGTCAGAATTACAGCCTGGTGATACACCAGAGGACCCACACAGGAGAGAAACCCTTTGAATGTCCTGATTGTGGGAAGAGTTTTAGTCAGAATTCACACTTGGTGATACACCAGAGGATTCACACAGGAGAGAAACCATATGAGTGTCCAGAGTGTGGGAAAAGTTTCAGTCGGAATTCCAGCCTTGTGGTACACCAGAGGATACATACAGGAGAGAAACCGTATGAGTGTCCCGATTGTGGGAAAGATTTTAGTAGTAGGTCTAGTCTTCTAAGTCATGTAGGTTTACACACAGGGGAGAAACCTTTCAAATGTCCAGTCTGTGGACGGTACTTCATGCGTAAATCATCTCTTATTGCACACAAGGAAATCCACACAAGGCAAAAATTGATGAATTTAGAGAAGGCTTGAATTTCATTTCTAATCTCTCATTGGGATTGTAGATGAGAAATTGACTACCTGTAATCTTCTACTTACAATCATAATTGAGCCTGAAAGTTACGTTGCTGTGTGATAAATTTTTTAATAGAATAGAATAGAATAGAATTCTTTATAGAATCTCATATTTTAAATGAGTTTTGCCCCCTTTTACGACTTTCCATGCCACATTTGTTTAGGTGAATCAATGCAGTTGTTAAATGAGCAACATGGTTGTTAAGTGAATCTGATTTCCCCATTGACTTTGTTTGTCAGGTTGCAACAGGTGATCCCATGACTCTGGGAAGTGCAACCATTATAAATGTCAGTTGTCAAGTATCCAAAGGTAAATCACATGACCATGGGGATGCTGCAATGGTCATAAGTGTGAAAAATGCTCATAAGTCACTATTTTCATTGTAACTTTGAATGGTCACTAAGCGAACTGTTGTAAGTTAAGGACTACCAGTATTTGAATTCTGGCCTAATGCTTTTAAGTGAACACATCTCGGAATAAGACAGGTAGATGGAGAGAAAAAAATGGAAAATCTTAGTTTGAAAAACGCTCACTACCAACTTCTGATTATCAGCAAAAAAATTCTCGATATTTCCTTTTGCAGAAGTACTGGTGTCCTCCAGCTTTTGAGCACCAGAATTCCCCAGCCGCCATACAGGTAGTCATTGATGCACAATTCTAATGGGGCCTGCCAATTAGTTGTCTGTTGTATTAAGTGAGACTGCTTCGCTTAACTAATCTCTCCCTGAGGCAGCCATTAAATGTGCAAGTCGTTAAGTGGAACAGTGGCTACCTCAGTATTGGGGAAAGCTCTTGAGTCCAAACGTGGCCCAGGCTTCCCTTCCCTAGGCCTCCCTGAGGCACCCAGTGCTCTGCTACCCAACTCTTGTGTTCCCCCAAGCCTTTCCCTCCTCCACAGATCCCACCCAACCTTTCTCCCCCCAGGCCTTTCCCCACTCCCACTGGAGCCCTGAAGCCCTTAGGCCAAATTCCCACCCCACCAGGCTTCACGCCCTAAACCTCCTTATCTTTTGAAGGTTTCTGATCTCACCTTGCGAAAGGAGGGTAGACCAAACATTCCTGGGCTACATGACTGTATCCTGAGAGCAGTCATCATTTTCAGTGTGCCCAGGATTCACCAATGGGCCAAACGAGCAATGTACTCGTGGAAGCAACTGCCATTTTGCCACAACTGCCTCAGGGCCAAAATGGTGGCTGCTTTTGAGTCACTTTTGTGTGGGAGAGGGAGAAACTGCTCTGTTTTGCTACCTTAACACTCTGAAGACCATCTTAAGGAGTTGTGGTGCTCTTAAAATGAGGGCTGACTCTGGGATATCTCCAAAAACTAAGTGTATGATGGGTGTGCGGGGGAGTTGGCCCAAAGCCCAGTGAAAAAAAGCAGTGTAAAATTTCACATGTAAAGCCTGTTCTGCCTTGCAGGTGAACCTGTTGAAGAGCTGTAGGAATATTGAGTTAAGGAGAAAAGGTATCCTGGGTTTGATCACAGGATCTCCAGGTTTATTAGCAACTCCTGATGTGATCTCGCGTTTTTGGAGGCGCCTTATTACCATTTGATTGCTGCTGGGTGACAGCAGGACCAAGTTGCTGAAAAAATTGTTGCATCCCCCTTGGTAGCAATGTGAGAAAAAAAATTGATCAGTGAAAAATGTTTCATTTTTTAAAATGCATTGTGTATGAACTATCATTAGCTTTTGAGAAGGAAAAAGTGGATGGTGTTGCTATGAACATTTGGGCAAGGCAAAATGCTCAGTCCCCTCAAACTGTGAGATGTGCAGTGAATAAGTTTAATAATAAAATTAATAATAAAAAGATAACGTAAAGCCCTTTTCTGAACTCTTGCTCAGTGGTGAAGTCGCCACATATACGCTGGGTTTCTAGCACACTACAATTGTTAAGCTATCTGTATGTAATCTGTCCCTTGTGCATTCTGCATCTCTATAACCAATCTGTCTTCTTCAGTTTCCCCTTCCCTCATTAAAAATTTAAAATTTCAGTTTCGATCGTGCATCAGTCCAGCTAGTCTGTGCCTCTGATGATATGAGCTGCTGTTAGGCTTCTGCCTCTTAATTTATTGTTGCATTGCTATTTACCTCAGTCCTAAATTCTATGAAAGAATGACATTTCTTTATGCAGAGTTAAAAAAATTAGAATGGCTAAACTGGATCTGTTTTGATTGGCCTTCTTCTCAGATTCAGGGTTGGTCTTCTCCAGCATTACCAGTCTGAGAGAAGGAAGTTAGGACATTTCAAACTGGACAAATAAGCTATGATTCCCCTGGTAACTTTACAACCTCTAAAGCAGCCTGAGCATGGCGCTTGGGGTATCTGAAGGTGCATGTCATCCCTTGGTTCTTCTGGGCTCTGTGCCCGGCAATTTTATTCCTTCTTTTGAAAGATTGAGAACTTCACAAATTATTTAATTAAAGTAAATTTCTCTTTCTGTTTCTGCAAACAATCGTTGCATTTACAACCATCGCATTGTTCTCCAATTCTGTGACAGCCACTGCATGCTGGGCAGGGATGGGTTCTACTTACCTTTACTACCGGTTCACAACAGGGCCGTGCGCAGAAGCATTTTGATGATGTCGGGGTCGGTGGGCGGAGCCTCCCACCAGTTTTACTACCGGTTCTATAGAACTGGTGCGAACCGGGGGAAACCCACCACTTATGCTGGGGATAGATGATACAATTGTAGATACATGCATAGAGAAGTTCAAACACACACACTTACAAATGTATATATGTGGAAAATCCATGTGTTTTAAGCCTGAACAATGTCCCAAAATGGTTACAGTGAAACCTTCTGAGCTAATTTTAGAGATGTGGGGTTAGGGTTAGGGTGAAATGATGCCTAAAGCCTCTGCAAGATTTGAAACACCAGTTTTGCCCATGGAAGCCTTCAGCTCCAAGTAAGGGCAGAAAATGCTGTCCACGGCTATTTTGGTGACATCCCCATTTAAGTAGTCCTCACTTACTGACTGCATTTGGGATTGGCATCTGGGTCATTATGCAGCCCGATCATTAAGGATGATGCCACATGACAGTGCCAACTTACATCTGTTCCTCTGCCACTGTTAAAACAAATCACTGTGAGTTATTAAAGGCAATTTCACATGACCCTGACTTGCAACTTCCTGCTGACATCTTCACTGATTTGCTTGTCAGAAGCCAGCTGGGAAGGTAATAAATGGGGATCCCGAGTGTGAGATGCTGCAACCATCATAAATGTGCATTGGTTGGCAAGAACCCAAATTGGTGGCACTCCTTTTCCTGTACGTTCATAACCACAGGAACTGCTGATGTGTGGTCACTGAACGAATGCTACAATGACCACAAATTTGTGGACCAGGTGTACGTCAGCTTTCACAGTGCCATTGTAACTTTGAAGACTAATGAAACAAATGGTAAATGAGGACTACCTATACAAATTGAACATCTGAAAAGGTCCTCCATAAGTATGATTTAGTTGAACCTGGTTAATACACGGATGGGGCTCTATTAGGAAAGATTGTGCTTGCTGGCTAGACAGGAAACTAAAAACACAAAAATTTCAGAAGAGACAGTGGCCGATCAGTGCACCTCCTCCCCCTCCCCCTCTCAGTCCCCTCCTCATCTCGCAGCCTCCTTGCCCACCTGGTGCCCCTTGAGCATCCCTCCCTGTGAGATACCAGGAAGGGAGGCGGGAGGGGCCTGAAACTGGGTTCCCAGCCCTCCCCCTTTTCCCCTTTCCCGCCTCTCTGGGCACAAAAGAAAAGCTCTCTGCGTTGAACCGCTTGCTGAAGCCGCTGAGGGGAGGGGGTGACTGGGTCACTGCTGAGCGATGCCAAAGTCTTCCAGCCAGGGACCACAAAAGACCATCATACCCCACTGGACGGCCAAAAGACCCAAAACAAGGATCCAAATTTAAAAAGATAGTTGCATGCGCTAATTTGCACCTCTAAAAGCAAACTAGGAATTTGTCGCTATTGAAGATGGGCAAGAAAGTCCTGTAGATGTTGGACTACAACACCCACCATCCTTCACCCCGTCATTAGTGCCTCGATTTGATTCCCCCTTTCCACCAATCGAGTTAAAATGAAATTAGGAACAGCCGCCATCGGACACCACAACAACACTCTTCCTCACAATGCCAGCCTAACTGCTATCAGCATTTGCAGTCATTTTCAGAGATTTCAAATGGAGAGGGATCCTGAAAAAACAAGGGGAGGCCACAAGCTATAATGGTCCCTTCCTGTTTGATTGGCAGCAACATATTTAACTGTTTAAGTGCTGAGGGAGGTTTCAAGCAGCTGTTACTTATTTTCATTCTGTATGTGTTGGCACCACTATTTGGTTGCTAATTGACTCTGTACTGAAGCTCACTACTGTTTATACTTTGAAGTATCACAAAGACAAGCTTTGGGAGAAGCACCCTGCTCTCAGGATTTCTGTTGACAGCTTGCTCGTAATTTTGGAATGTTACTGCTACAAAACATGGCTTTAAAGGAAAAGTAACAAGAAGGAGAAAAAGTGGAATTGCTCCTTTACAAAGAAATGCAAAAGGCCCATTAAAGAAGCTTTTTACTTGTTTATTCCCAAGAAGGGAATGCATCGGTGGTGGGTTGCTACCAGTTTCCCCCAGATTGGGGGAACCGGTAGCGGCGGTAGTGGGAGGCTCCGCCCACCTGCTCGGACATCTCTGCGCATGTGCAGAAGAAGCGCACACATGCGCACACCCACAAGCAAACCAGTAGCAACCGAAATTGAATCCTACTACTGGAATGCATCAATTCAAAGTACAACTGGAATAGAATTTACCTGTTTTCAGTTAATTGTACAAACTTGGTTGGGATGAGAGTGTTGGAAGGAAAATCCATCTGGTTCAGTTCCAAGCTGGGAAAAAGATGCTAGAAACAACATGGAGGCTGATTGGAAAGAAAGTTTATTGATGAACAGAACATAAACATAAACATAAAGACAGCGTGTCGTTCTGGATCTGCTGAACAGGTGGTTTTGCTGGTACTTGGACTTTTATACAGGTTTTTTTTACAGGATTTTGTAATCTGGAGGTTTGCTTCATGTGTTTTTATTATTTGATTTGTTTTACTTGTTTCACAAAGGCAAAATGGGTCTTTCTTAATGGGCCCAAAATATCTACTGGGAGCTATTAAGACTGAGTCTGTTTTTTTTTTTTACTTTAAGAGCATGTTTCACCATTTCTCCCTTTGGAGACATATAATAATCTGCTTTTTAATATTCCCAAAAATATTTCAATTCTTTGGAGGGTGAGGCTTCCCACAAGAGCAAGATACTTCTGGTCCTGAGCACAGCTTAGATAGTATTGTGCAAAAGTTTTAAACCATCGTTGTATTTGTTATTTTAGCAAAATTTAAATGACCATAATTATTTTTCCATCTCTATATTAAGATTCAAATACCAGAAATATGTATATAACATTTAAACAAACACAAATCGCAAAACAAAATGGCTTCTTCAGGGAATAGTCAGCAAGAGCCTTTGTGGCGCAGTGGTTAGAATGCAGGACTGCAGGTTACTTCTGCTGACTGCCGGCTGACTGCAATTTGGCAGTTCAAATCTCACCAGGTTCTTTTTTTTTTTTTTTTTTTTTGATTTGTATACCGCCCTACTCCCGAAGGACTCAGGGCGGTGAACAGCCAACAATAAAATACATAAATACACAAAATTTAAAAACCCGATAAAATCAAATTAAATTATTTGGCCCAGACAAATTAAAATACCCCAATAATTTAAAAACAGATTAAAATTTACATATTTAAAAAGGGAAGAGATCAGGCCAAGCCCGCTTGATGGAATAAAAAGGTCTTCACAGCACGGCGGAAGGAGCGCAGGTTCAAGGTTGATTCAGCCTTCCATCCTTCCAAGGTGGGTAAAATAGGGACCCAGATTGTTGGGGACAATATGCTGACTCTGTAAACCGCTTAGAGAGGGCTGTAAAGCACTGTAAAGTGGTATATAAGTCTTAAGTGCTATTGCTATTGCTATTGCTATTTAATGTGACCTCCCTTGGCTCTAAGCACATCTAGAACTTGGGATTGCAAACCTTCCCCCCATCTCTGCTAGGCCTGGGTGGCCATGGGGCGGATGGGGATCTGGCTTTGCCCACTCAAGGTGGCCATCTTTTGCCTGCTGGGCCTGGGCATGCTCTACCACCTCTACTCGGCCTTTCTAGCTGGCCACTTCGCCTCTTTTGGACTGGGCAGTTCTGCTGAGTGGCGGTGACAGACTGTAACAGGGCTGAGGTGCATCGATTACATGAGGGAAATGCGCTCCAAGCGCAGGCCAAGGGCAACACCTGTGCGGGGGCCAAGGAGATGACCAGCAGCTCTCCAATCGCAAGCAAAAACAGACAGTGGGACGGAGTAAGTGCACCCAGCAATCTGCATGGACAGCCAGCCCAGTGGTAGCAGTAGGCTCAGGAGCTTTAGCATGCGCCAACTGAGGGCCGACAGGCTGCAGCTACAGCCAGAAACCATCCCCCCTACACACAAAGGGCAGCGAGCACAGGGTGGCTGACTGTTTCTGACTGTAGTTGCCCTGCCCACTGCCTCACCTCACCTCATCCCACTGGATGAGCCTCCCTCCACCTGCCCCACCCATTGGAGATCCCTAGATTCCCTCCCCAATCCCACCTGGTCCCCACAAGCACCACCCACACGAGTGACATCAAGCTGGCCATGCCCCCAGCCCAGAAATTCTTGTCTGATTCTTCCCCTTATGGCTGCTCAGGGACAATTTAGTTTACCATGAATGTTTTCTTATTTTAAACACCTCAGATGTATTGTAGTGGGAGCATCTCAGAGGTTTCCCATCAAAAGACTAGGCGGGAGGGATTCAGAGGATAAATGGATAATAAACAAATGGGCAATAAAATGGGCATGTTGTGTGGGAATTCATGAGGGGAGAATGACAACTGAAGAAAAGCAGATCATCATGTCACCGGTTCGTGCCAGACACCTTCAAGGCCGTTTGCCCTGAGTG